ATCTCGGACAACGTACACACAGAGCGTAGATGAATTCCATGTTCTTCTAACCTGGCCTTCCCCCCCTGCTCCCTGTCCAGCAGCACTACAGCATCTGTGACTTTTAATCCTTCCTTCCGAAGAACTTCAGCAGTTTCCAGTACACTGGATCCACTTGTTACCACATCTTCAATGATCAAACACGTTTCTCCTGGATTAATGGTGCCTTCTACCAGCCGCTTGGTACCTTTAAAATAAAACACTCTACTAAATAAAGTACAAAAGACCTCAGAATGTACCCAACGTATCCAGATTTTAACCTGAGATGTTAACGTAAAGACCGTATTTGTTTTGCATACAAGCATATGCTGCAGTAAAAATGGAATTGGGCTTCAGGTTTATAAGAATTTCATACTTGCTGTCAGTATGCAGAGTAGTTATGTAGTTATTACTGATTCCAGATATCACATCTCAGCCACTGCCTCATAACTCAATTCATAGCCTGTTACTTTTCCAAGGGGATAAAACACACTTCATACGATCTACTACCAAAACCAACATCTTACTGACAGCACATCTTTTAACAGTCTTTAATGAAGCTCACTACAGAAATTGAAGTTTATTATCGCTAATTATTACCTTCAAAACATCAAAAATATTTTTCCTGTTACTGAAAACATCTTTAAACTAGCAAAGTTATTGAAACTCTTCAACATATTTTCTGTTTTCCACAGGCATTATTCTATGCTTAATATGCTTGTTGTTAGAACAATCTGGAGGAGTAAAGCCACCAGATGCCTTTATCATAACCAACAATAGGCACAAGTCCATGAAAAGCCTCCCAGAGGGCAGCAACAAAGGAAGCCTGGCCTTCTGAGGAAGCAAGAAGCAGCGGGTGAACATTATGCAGCCACTGCAGTGCTCAGACCACGGCTGCCTCACAAGTGTCAGTACAGCTCTGCAATCTGTATGACACTGGAAACCTTGTGCCAGGCAGTTAATTGCTGTCACAATCAACTTGTCCTTCACAAGAGTGAACAGTAAAAGTTCTCATGCCTAGCACACTGACTAACAAAGGAGTACCATTTAGGTTCTACAAACATCCTGTCTATCTGAATGATGCTGGGAGAGAGCTTATCACACATGGAAATCCAGTTGCCAGGGTTGGATAATACTGTACTCCCCCCCCTACTAGCACCTTGCCCCCACTTCAACCAATATCAAGTAAAACTGATTGCTATGTATAGATCTTACTGCTTCTCACCTGGCCCACTTTGCCTGCTGATTATAGGATACAAAAGTGTAAGTGGATGAGAGACTACAGAAGAATAAAGATTCCTTTTGGAGCTGATATGCAAAAAGTTGTTTAGAGGTCAAACATGGCACCAGCCTCGGCATTATAAAAAACTGCATTACAAATCTGTTTCTAGAAGAGGGCAGTAACCTACAGAAATGGTGTTAAAGGAAAACAGACACTATGGGAACAAAGATGAAGCCTGAGACCTTTCACCCTTACTACAGCAGAAGCCCAGCTGCAGCTGGTTGGGCTGGGACATGGTAAGAGGTATGTTTAGGGGAAACAGGACTGCTATTTGAGTTGGAGTAGTAATCTTAAACTGAAACACAGATGCACATGACAAGACAAGTAATGACAAATTCATCATTTGACAGTTTTACCATAATCTTTTGCTTCTTTCCTCCGTATCAGCATTGGAATCTGATTTTCAGAGCTGATAATCGTGGCCAATGGTAAAGCTGTGTATGGAACACCACACACACAGTCATACTGGAGAGCAGCGTCTTTTGCTGTTTGGAACAGAAGATCAGCAACCTAATAAATATGAATATTTCAGGAGTCAGAGCAAAGTGAGCACTGTTAAACAGTATCTCAATTCCCAAGCACCTCTGGAGATGGCAGCTGTGCCACTGCATCACCACTCTTTCAAAGAAGAATCGTTTCCTAATATCCAACCTGAACCCCCAGGCACAACTTGAGGCCATCACCTCTCACCCTATGGCTGTTACCATAGCACAGGCCGACTCCCACCTCGCCACAAGCTCCTCACAGGAAGCAGCAGAGAGCCGTGCAGTCTCCCCTGAGCTCCCTCTTCTCCAGCCTGAACGATACCACTCCCTGGACAGGCTCCATAGCCTCGATGCCCGTCTTGCAGCAAGCAGCCCAACCCACCTCCCCGACCCAAGCCCGGCACCGCGACCCCAGAACCCCCCTCAGACTCCTGAGGCCACTCGTCCAGTTCCCCCCCCCCCCCCCCCCCCACAGCACCAGGCGGAGCAGGGGGGGCCGGGAGGCCAGGCCGCGCAGATCCACGTAGACAGGCGAGGCGATGCCGCTCCGCAGCACGAAGTCTCCGAAGCGCACAGCGCCCGCCTCCAGCAGCGCCGCCGCCACGCTTCCCGCGCCGCCCGCCGCCATCTGCCCGCCCGCTGCCCGGCGCCGGGAGATGACGGAAGCGGCGACACCGTGAGGAAGTGCGCATGCGCAGAGGTGAGCCGCCTATACGCGTCCCCCCGGTTCTTCCAGGCCGCGTTCACGCGTTCCGGGTGCACTTCGTTCCCTCTCCCATCACCAACAACCCGCGTTGGAAAATGAGACTGAGCCGCTGTTCTCTGAACAACCGAGTTTAATCCAAAATAAATAAAGAAAATAAAGCCCAGAAACTGCATCGTTAGCACAGTCCGTTCATAGGGAGGGGGCACAGTCTGAAGCCATGTCCGTAGCGTTGGATCTTGCCTGGTGTAGCAGTGTGCTTCAGGCTGCACTGTGCGCTGACGTCGTTAAGGCTGTGGCGTCACTTTGCACCTTGACAACACCGTGCCATCAGCTGGGCCGTCCCCCTTCCTCCTTCAGCTGGCCGTTGGAAAGCTGACGAACACAGAGCTTTGCTCTTAGTGAAGAAGGTTGAGGTGGCCACGGTCTGTGCAGAGCCACGCTCACCTGTCCCACCACCCTGCCACAGCCAACACGCAGCGCTGACACAGCGCAGTGCCAGACCCAGCCCGGCAGCACCTGGCCTGGCCTCGCATCTTTGGGAAGCACCATGTTGGGATGGAACGCTGCCAATGAGCCACAAAACAAACCCAGGCCCTATGCTGGACGTTTGTCTCGGGAGTTTACATAGCCCAGGTCACCTGATGCAGCCCTCTCGTTGCAAGGGCATTAAAATACAGTTATATATAGTCACATTGCACCACGCAGTTCTGCATTCAGCCTTAGTGGCGTTTGTAACAAGGCCCGCTGAGGGCACAGGCTTTGTCTCAGCTTTACCTTAGGTTAAATGTAAAGTTATTTTAAAGGCAAATGTTAATGAAAATAAAGCTGCTTAAAATAAAAAGGCAATGGACTTGGAGAGCTTGGATTGCTTTAAAGAATTGTTAAAGCAGTATTTAAGCCTCCAGTTTCTATCAAATGAGAACAGAAGAGAGAAAAGACATAGAAAGGCTTAAATATTCCCTTAATCAATCCAACCTTTTCCCTCCATAGGCCCACAGTACCTGTTTTCACAGTTTGAAATGTGAATGCAGGACGTTTATCATAAAATGATAAATAGCTCAAGATTTCCTGTGATACGTGAGAATCTGTTTGTACTGGTGCCAAGCAGAAAGAGTGTTGTTTAAAGTGTACCCACGGGCCCCATAAAAGCTGTGGGTTTTATACACTACACTTCCATAAACATTTTCTGAAAGGCAGCACAATCACAGCATAAAGAGCCAGCTTTGACAAATGGGAAGAAGCACAAACAGTCCTGCAGTGAGGAAGTACCTGAGGCTGGAGCTAATTAAAGACACCCCTTGATGACTGCCTGGAGATGTTTCAGTTGCTAAGAAATCATACACCTCACACTCCCACTCAGGAGGAGAGTCTGGTCTTTGCCTTTGAGGTGCTACTGAATTGCTTGGAAAACTAGTTGCTGCACTACAGAGGGAAACTGAAATGGGTTCAGAAGTTTTAGCCCTCCATGAACACTCAAGCCTTTCCTCAACTTCCCCCAGGATCAGATCACACTTAGTCTTCTATGCTCCCAGATCTTAAGGTTTGCAGCACTGAACGTTGTAACTTGCTGTGCCTGACTGCTCTAGCATCCTGGTAGAGCAAGCACAAAGAGAAGGGCCAGGTCTCCAAATGCCATGAAACTGAGCTCAGAGGTGGATCAGAAGGGTTAGCAGAGCCCTGGGAATTCACAGTACTTGCAGAGTGTCTGTCACCTGCTGGCAGAACCAGCTTTTGCTCCTGACGATATGTCACAGGCTCACAGTGCAGTTAGTTGGATGGTGAATTGAATTTGGCTCTTGCCCTGATGAGATATCTCAAGAGAGCCTCTGCTGAGTACACATGGCCAGAATAAGCCCTTTTCCTTAGGAAAAGCTTTGGTAACAACTGACATTTCCTATTGCAGGCACAGCAGCGGCACTCAGCACTGAGACGTACTAATACGCCAAGGGGAAAAATGTCTGATCGTCAGCCTGGAAGGCTGCAGGGTTTTATGGTGCAGCAACCAGGGAGGTGTTTTCCCTTCCTGCTGCTAGAGAGAAGACTTGGCCAGTCCACGGACTGCTGATCTGTCACTGCAGGCTCCCTGCATTGTTCATACTTAAGGCTGGCTCCGTCACTGTAACATCAATGTGATGATGTTACAACTTGGCTTGTAAGAGAGAAATGTTTTAATTGTGGAACTATTTTTTTTTTTTTTAATTTTATTACAAATTAGGCTTTGGACAGAAAAATATCCTCACAAATGCTTTGGTGATGAGGTGCTAACGGCAGCTGAGAGATATTTACAAGACTGGAAATGAAACAAATGACATACTTTAAAACACAGAAAACGATTTTCAAGCTGTAAGCACAAGGATGGACTCACCACTTACCAACTGCACTTTCAAAGGCTCTAGATGGACTTTGGGCCAAGCAATTCTGAAGCTAGAAATGGAACAGGATCCTTTATATATATATATATTTATATATATATATGATACAATATATGTATACTGAAAACCTGTGATAGAAAAAATTGTCTTCATCAATCATCACCTAGTTTACAGATACTGCAAAAATTGGACTCAGCCTTTTCTCAATGCACAGGTTTTGCAAAAGATTTCTGTACAGTGTATATAAAATGCGTTAAAAAAAAAACAAACCAGCATCATAGTCCCGTTGTGCTTAGTCAGAAACAGCTGTATGCTCCAATGAATTCATTGCCTCAATCATAGCTCCAAAGGGTACTGCATGTTGACCTGACGCAGTAGAAAGCCCAAGGATTAACATGGGATTTTATTCTGAGCACTGCCATGTAATGAGGATGTATCTAAGCCAAGCCACCACAGAAGCTGATCCAGCAGGCCTGATCTTGCAGGTGAAGTCCTCACAGAAATCATGGGAGACCTGGGCATACAGAGAACAAAAAATCCAACTGTTAACCCAGAGCAGGCATGCAGTGACTCCAGTGAGAGCTGCATTCAGCCAAGTCCTGCAATACACACAAAGGTCAGCCTAGACTTACTCCTCCACACACTATCCTACACCTATCTCTCATACACTCAGATATCAGTTCAGCAAGATCAAGAGGATTTCTGGTAAGGCTGCCTCCCAGAGATTAAGGCAACTGCAGTTTTGGTTCTTGTCTCCAGTTGGTGTTTGCTGCTGCATACTGTTGAGATGCTTCCAGGAGGTGCTCATTGAAGAGGGCACCTAAGTACCTGTCACCGTTACCCTGCTTGCTTTGATCCTGAGTAACTGAGGAGGTACTGGGACCTCTGGACAGATTTATACCTTCAAATGCCAACACTGAATACAAAAGTATGTACAGAAGCTCTGCTTTGGGCCTGCTCACTCCCTGCACCATGCCTCAGGACCAGCAGTGTAGTGTCCGGGGAGGTGGGCATTACGTCCCAGGGTTAAGCCTGCTCATCAGGAAACTCTTGACACCAGGGATGGGGTGCACGTCGTACTGGTGTCTGCGGCGCTCAATGAAGGATGCCAAGCGGGAGGTATCCAGTGGGATTTTGGAGTAGCTGCCATTGTGTGGCTGCAGCCATGGGTGCTGTAAACAAGTGGCTGCTGTCGGCCTTCTCCTGAAGTCTTCCTGGAGGATGACGTTGATGAAATCCCTGGCGGCATGGCTCACATCAGAGAAGTACTCAGGTGGGAAGCTGAAATCGACTCTGCACACATTGATACAAGTCTCCTCTTTGCTTTCATCTAGGAAGGGCGAGACACCGCTCAACATGACGTAGGTGAGGACCCCGATGCTCCAGATGTCTGTGCTCAGGGACACAGGGAGGCCCTGGATAACTTCAGGGGCTGCGAATTCTGGGTTTCCAAGGAGATGGTGGACGTGGTAATGGCCTGTGATTTGAACTGCATCTTCCAAATCAATGATCTTGACACGAGGAACTGGGATCCTTAAATCGATGAGCAGATTCTCTGGCTGTTGAAAAGGGAACAATGAAAATGTAATTATGCTTATTATACTTATTTTTCCTCAAAGCAATCTCTACAGATTAACAACTCTGACAGATTTTTTTAATTTTGAGAAAGGACTTGTGTATCTCTGAAAGATTCATTTAGATTCCATTTGTTTTTGTAACACCTGGATGACATAAATGTGTGTAATTTGTAGCAGAAGTGTTCTTTGTAAAGCAAGTGTTAAACATTTTGCCCACTGCCTCTTTAAATTCCATGGATCTGTCCTTTAGGTCCTCATCCTCATGCACATTCTGTGTATACAATGCACTACTGTTCAAACTTCTCCACTTGCTCTTGTTTTGTGTGTGTTCTGCACTGACAAAATTAATGTATTCTGGAGCAAGATCTTAGGACAAGATATGGCTAGGTCTTAGGACAAAACATGGCTAGATGCACTAGTAATGCATCTTCTGTTTCCTTCTCAGCAACAGAAGGTGCTTTATTTAGCATACTTCACTCAGGAGAACTGTAAATAGGTCACAGAAAATTGGCTTCCCACTTTGTTTTGGGAAGTATCTTATGATCAAATAAAGAATTCAGTGTGGTTTCTTTACCTAGAAGTGATGTCTATTTTTTGACAGGTCCTATAAATACAGCAGAAAATACAAACAGCCTTACCAAAAGAAACCGGGATAATAAAGTGTTTTGGGACTAATGCTCACATAAGATATTGTACAAAAGGGATCTTTTCATTTTTTCTATTAGTAGCAGTCAGCAGCAGAAGACTGAAAACGCTACTTCATCTGACATGCCTGGGAGCTATAGGGCTGAGACAAGACCTCTGTGGAGCTGGATTGTCCACTCTACAATGACAGTTAAATCCAGCTCTCATTTTCCATTTTTAAATGCTGCTCAAGTCTTCAAATAAATTATAGATTAGCTGATACTTCTGGCAATCTGATTCAGAGCTGCAGACTGCAAAGCTCGGAGCACTTGGTCGTAACTTCAAACACTAGTTTTCTGTCTCCCCAGATCAATGCAGCGTTGGTGGATATGGCAACACAATGCCAAATCCAGGACAGTGCAGTACCTCCTGCCACACGTACTAACAAAAGGAGGTACAGGCTGTGCTAATCTCACTGAGCATGATATTGCAGACTGCAGATACTCTTCTGAACCTCTCCCTAGGCACATTTCCCACATCTCCCAGGCTCTGCAGCACAATCAGCTTGCTGCTTTCCCCTCTCAGCCCTTCTAACCTCCTGCTCTCCTGCACTCTCCTCTCCCCTTGCTTACCATGTTGTGAGCCCAAGCCATGTCCTGGGGATGTATCTTGTAACTCCCCTTCACTCAGGAGCTACTGACACTTGCCCTTCTCCCTCATTAAATCCCTCTTCCTGAAAGCCCTTGAGAACAAAACAGTGAATTAAAGAAATAGTGCATCTCTGAATGAAGAAATAGACCTTGCAGGTTACTGAGTCCTTTCTCCGGTCACCACATCTGAAGGGTAGTGCTTGTCCATTCAGCATCACCTCCTGGGGCACAGACTGCACCTCTTTGCTGTGTGTGCAGCTGGGAACTCTCTGTACCAGGACACCGAGTAATAGCATCATTCTCTTCTCTTCTTACCTTTATATCTAAATGAGCCACTCGGCAATTGTGAAGATACTGCAAGGCTTCCATTGTGTCTCTTATGTAGAAAGCTACTTTTTCCTCCATAAGTTCATCATGGTTCATTAGATAATCTAGGAGACGACCATCATCCATCCTACAAAGAAATCAAACCCCACACCTGAAAGATCACATGACATCTGCAGGAATAGCTAATATTTGACAATAAAACTGCAATGGAAACTTTGTGACCTAAAAATGGAGGAAATACAAATGAGAGATTTGATTATGATTTAATGATATCACGAGGTACTGAAGGGCATGGAAGTGGTATAATGATTAATCTTTGATTAGTCCTCAGTTGTCATCCCTGGCCTTAATAAATTTAGTGACAATCTCAAAGTACACTAAGTTGCTTAAGGACGGATTCTACAGACAGAGGAGATTCCTTTGAAAACAGATCCACTTAATTATTTGGATTCATCTATTCATTTATAGAGATGGTTGCATAATGCAGAAAAAAAAATCACTGATATTTCAGCTAGTGGTGTGTTCTGTGGGAAAGCTAACTCAATAAAAGTTTTCCACCTAGTTTTATTTATCTGTATAAATAAACAAGCAAAGAGTCCAAATATGCTTGATTGGATATATTGTAACAAAGAAGCAGTTTGGATTTTGGTTGCTATTATTTCCCCTTATAGGGACAAACATAGTCCCAATGAAGCTTTTTTCATCAAGAACTGTTAGAACAATGTAGGCTCCAATCCAGCTGAAGTGCATTTGCTCAGATATACAGAGCAGACTAAACTGCCCAAATAAATCTGATGCTATGTGACAAACTAACTGCTGATACAATTACTGAGCTTCCAGAGTAGAAAGTTTTATTTCTACCTCCGAATCTTATTTACTGTAAAGAAAAGGCATTGGAAAGTCAGCAGAAAATGGCTATTTCATTTGACGTCACAGTCAGTAAGAAACAGATGACAAAGTCTTTGTCCTGCTGAAGCACGGGTGAATTTTATCCTTGGTTTTAATAGCACTGTGATTCATACCCAGATGCTTGAATTGTAGCTCCATGTACTTACAGCTCCAGAACTAGGATGTAAGAAGTAGGAGACTCATAGGTATCATGGATAGTGATGTACTGAGGATGCTGTAAGTGCTGTAAGAGAGCTGCCTCATGGGCTGCTTGCTCCTTCTTCTTCATTTTTTTACTGATGAATTTTACAGCAACATCTTTCCGGGTAGCTTTGTGAACACATTTCTTTACGATGGAGAATCGTCCCCTGGAAAAAAAGAAAAGCAGAATAATGAATGGGATCCATGAATAAATCATGCTCATTTTTCAGTGTGATAACAGACTGATTTTCAAAGTGTTATTTGATTCAGTGCATTAACATTTCACAAGGAATCAGACTTATCTCACTGCTCACAACCTTTTCCAACACGGAACTGCTGTCTCTCACCCTGGCTGTTTAGATTCTTTGGGGATTAGCAAACACGGAGAGCAAACAGAGCACTTTGTGCAGCTGTGCTGATGTCCTCTAACAACATCCCTTGGGTTCAATTTGCTGCCGTTTTTACAGGTTCTGTCTGTTTGTTTCTAACCGTGGATCTCCTCTCTCCAGCTGCTTGAATAATGAACCCAGACTTAAGACAGCTAAGAGAAAAGCCTTGTTAAGCAATGACTAAGCAATCATTCTGTCTTGCTGATTCAGGAATACAGTAAAAAATGAGGAGGAAACAGCTGGCATGAAGGCATTTAGGAATCTCATCCAGACCAGTGCTTGGTACCATTCCTGGAAGCAAGAGTACTTAACAAAGCCATGTGCTGCACTTGGCCTCTTTTTTAAGATATCACTATTCTTTCCTACCTTTGCAGCCCCAGAAGCACTTATCCCTGATCTCTGGGTGAAGACCTGGCTGCCTAAACCTGCACTGTTTGCGTGTTTCTTATCAGCATCATGCAGCTCTTGCTCACTGACCACCCCATCAGCACAGGCCATTGGAATGTGCTTTCAGTCTGTCACATTGCCTTCTGCAAACAGCCTCCAAGGTTAAGCACATCCAGAAACAGCAAGCCATCCTGACTTCAGAAGCTCACACTGAGCCACAGATGTCAGAGCAGATACCAGCAGGCGCTGCTGGATCTGGCTGCCCCGTCATTCTGAGGCTGGCATTCACTCATCCATGTTCCAGATCTAATGCTCAAATCACAACTGGTCTTGGGAGACAAGATGTAGTCAGCATTTTAGCCAGTCTGTATTTCAATCAGTGCTTAGAGTGTTCTCTCTAAAAGGAGCAGCAATTTTCAAGCTTACTACAAAAACTGACCTAAATTCCCCGTTAAAGAACAAGTCTCAAGCCATTGTTTAGGTATTTCTCTGCAGTGATAAGCAGGGTTAATATTACCTCCCAATCTCATGCAGCTCTGCATAAGCGAGATCAAAGTTTTCCTTCCACGAAATAGTGGCACCATCAGCAGCAGAGTCTTTGGGAGAAGAAAGCACATTGAAGAAAGTGTAAAGACAAGGCAGACTGCTGTGGACTATGAACTGCATATTTAAGAGTTATGTGAGGATATGTTAATGGGTTGCCCAGAGAGCCCTGGAAGTGCTCAAGGCCAGGTGGGAAGGGGTCCAGGGCAGCCTGAGCTGGTGGGTGGCAATCAGCCCATGGCAGGGAATTGGGGACTAATGGTCTTTAAGGTCCCCTCCAACCCAGCCATTCCGTGATTCTATGATGATGATTTTATGATGTTGATTAAAACCAGAAAAAATTACCACTGAGTGTCCAATTTCACGCTGCTCCACCGCAACTCCATTGTGTTTGACCACCAAAAGCCAGAACTTCCCAGGAGAAGCTGTGGCTAAGTTGACTTTAAATTTGCCCCTGAAATTTTTGGGGGCTGAAAAGGGACCACAGGGACAGTCTCAGGGCACATCTGTGTGCAAATGGGAGGCCACTCACCATATTCTGGAAGCCTCACGAATTCAGATGGGTCACTGGGCAAGCTGATCCCCCAGGGGTTGCTGGCGCTCACACGGAACTGATACTGGCAGCCTGGGGACAGGTCTTCAATGACAAGGTAAGTGTCCAGTGTGGAGGCCACTGACTGCTGCCAGACCTGCGAGCCTGCATTGTGCAGAGGGAGGAAAGGAGCAATGATGGAAACAGAGCACAGAGACTCTCTTCCAATGTGGTGCCCTGGGAAGTTAAACTCCATGGGGTTTTTAAAAGGCAAAACGGAGGCAGATTTAATACTGTTAAACCTTCTGGGGACACGGAAAGCTGCTTGTCGTCACAGCCATCTGGTGAAAGGAGGGAGGAAGGAGATGCCCCTCACTTGACTGATAGCAATGGAAAAACTGCAGGCAAGGGGAAAGATGATCTATCCACAAGCCTGTCCAAGGCTGTGTGCTACCAGTGCTGTCTTTGGTAAGCAAGATAATGCAGGAATGGCAGAATGACCTGCTGACAGCTCTGCTAAGAGAGAAATAATGCAAAAAAGATACGGAGGAGGTAGAAAGCAAATCCCAGGAGAAGCTGAAGAAGGGGATTCATGCAACGTGCTTGCAGGAGACCTGGTGGATATCATGAAACCTGGAGCTGCTGGAGATTAATACTAATATTACAAGAAGTAATATACAAAATATACAAAAAGTTAATGAGCGTGCTTTGTCTTTTCACTGCCAGGAGACATTTATCGAAAGGGCTTGATAGATGCCATGGTGGCAGAATGCAAATTATTAAAGTACACTTTAGTGGTGGAATATAGTTTAGCTTAACACACTTCACTTGCCTTAAATGCACAGAGAAATCAGAAAAGACGAATGTATGAGAAGCTGGGCTGGATGATAGAAGAGCTTGTTTTGGCCTTCTGCTTTGGGATCTGTGAGTAACAGATAATCGTACCCCAGTGCTGGCAATGATGCTCTTGGAACCTACTGTCTCACAGAGCAGAATTACTTTGTTTTCATTTTCTCAGCCAGTGAGCACACCTCAAGGCTCTTACCTTCTTCTCTGTACTCCACTGTGTAGCCAGAAATGGTGCAATTGCCTGTACTGGATGGAGGCAGCCAACGAAGGATCACAGAGGTGCAGCTTCTCTCCTGAGCAATGGGACGATTAGGGGCTGCTGGAACACCTTGGGGAGAGAAAGCAAGCACAGAGTCCAGCATCATGTCAACCAGCCCTAGTGCTTTATCCTGAAGATGAGGTAAACACTGTCTGCAAAGGCTGGGTACACTACCTTGCACTTTGATTGTGGCTGAGGTTGATGCTGTTCCATGCTCATTAGTTGCAACACAGGTGTAAATGCCACTGTCCTGAGGCATCACATTGCAAATCTTCAGCATGAGCTCCCCAGAGTCACTGCAGATGCAAGAAACCCACGTTACAAATTGCTGCTTTGCTTCCTAATGCTTTTTATCCCTGTTTCTCTTCTGCCTCATTACAAGGACATATGCACACAGATCTTGTTAACTCATTTGAAGGAACACCCCCCAGACATGTGGTTCCAAATGCAACTCCTGCATTCATCAGGATTATGTCACTAATGAAATCTCTGAGCAGAATGGTCCCACTGGGCCCAGAAGAGCAAATCTATCTGTTGTGATTTCAGTTGAGGTGGGGAAGCAAGCAAAGTGTAAGAGCTGAACATTTTCTAGCTTTCCAGAGCCAGACACTGAGACCCCACATCTCCAGAAAGATTTTCCCAGGCACAGCTTTTTGACTTTGGGAGGAGCTGTGTGGAGCCTCTGTAGTCTGTGAGACTTCAGACCCCTGAAGCAAGCCATGTCCAGAAGAGTGGACACTTCACAGCAGCTGGGGAAAATAAATGTCACTTCTTGGTGACATTCCCACTTCTTGGGAAACAATCAGCCTTTGGGCCAATCTGAGCAAATAAACAGATCTACACAATCTGGTGAGTTTGCAGCAGGTTTGCAGATAGTCAGCTCTTCAACACTCACTTTAAGGGAGTTGGCCTGAATTAAAAGATTTTGCTTGTGTAACTACTCTAGCTGTGCTGGAGACTCAGCTTAGAGCCAGTAATAAATTCTCTTAATGGCAAAACTAGACTGGTTCTTGACTGCGTAAGCCATTGGAAACTGCAATAGGAAATGGCTGCCGGTGTAACTGCATGGACGCTGCGGCCTTGGCTGGTCTGACTGTGCTGGTTAAGGGACAGAAGAAAAACACTGCCTTCCCCCGCAATCCGGACACAGATGCCAGCAAGATTTGTATGACAGACGCCAAGCTGCAAGGCCTCTCTTTGGCAGGCAGCGGCTGCACGGAAAAGCAAGCAAGAGGAGAGAGAAAGCCAGTGCTGATAGTGCACAGCGAGGGACTGCACAGGCGAGAGACTGATGTAAAACAGAGCCTCACACAGAAATATCCTACATCCCAACCCCAGCCAGAGGCCTGAAGATAAGGCAGTAGCAATCTACTGAGTGATGGCTAAAAAGACAATTTTAAGTGTCCTGGGGTGCTTCGTGAGGCTCAATGAAGAAAGCTCTTGATTAGATATCCTTTTTTCCTTTTATATTCTTCTTCTTTTTTTTTTTTTTTTTTTTAATGTAAAAAAATCTCTCAGCATTCATTTTTCACTTTCACGGACTTTGTGCTCCCTGGCTTCATCTCAGCCCGAGCCAGCAGTGCTGAAAAACGCACATGAAAGATTGCCTCCTGGAGACTTCCCTTTCCATTTGGCCCAAATACCTTACATAAGCTGCAGAGAAGCATCCAGCAGTAGGCTGTTACCTGACCTGAATTCAACTCCAGAACTTTTTAGTTTGTCCCCGTCTGCTGTAAATCTGGGCCAGGAACATCCAGACAAGCATCCTTCTGTCCAAGCATGGCCAGATGTGGCCTTTCCAGAGGCACATGGAGGCTCTTTAAGGAAGGGCTCAAAGTGGAACAGCTTAGGAAGGGCTCAGGAACGCTGCATTAGTTACTACCTCAGCCTCTGAGATGAGAAAACTCCCAGCCATGTGGGTACATATCAATGAAGAATACTGCGAGCTGATGAGAGCTTTCTCTGCTCCTCTCCTGTTCCTGTCAAAGGTGAGCATGGCATCAAACTCAACCATCAGAAAAGCAGAGGCAATGTTAGCCAATATGTTGAAAATGTTAATTGCTTCTGACTTCCAACAGGCTCAAAGGCCTTGGCCTCCTGGGACATAGCATAACATAAAGCTCAGCTCTGCCAACACTGCACTTGGTGGAGATGCCCTGCATCAGCTTGGAAAACTACAGAGCTACCTGAACTCTCACATTTGACCCTTTCTAGCTGACGTGCAGCTCAGTGATGTGCCAACACACCATGTCAACCTCAATTAATTGCATCTCTAATGAGCTTTGTCTCCTGGCTAGTGCCATATTTGAGGGCAGCATGACCACTATTTGATGGAATCCAGAGGCAGGACCTTACCAGGATGATACCGTGTATGTGGCCGTGCTGTTATCATTGTCAAGAATGTTTTGATCTGGTCCTTTCCAGGTTATCGTTGGTTTGGGCCGGCCGCAGACTTTGCACTGCAGCATCACTGTGTCACCAAGCAGGCAGGTGATATCCACCAACGGCACAAGGAACTCTGGAGCCACTGAAGAAAAACATGGGGGAACACCTTTTAATGTACAGGAGAGGACGTTGTCCCTGTAACTCTGAAAAATGCATGATAGGACCAATTATGGGAGGTTCTTGTAGGAGAGTGATAGGTAAGGGTTAAGTGCTGTAGATCTGAGCATCCTGGAATTGTTACCAAACTCTACCCTCAGGGAGGCAGGCAACAGGGACAGGCTGTGCTGGCTCTGAGTTCTGGCAAGACAGCAAGGCTGGGTGCAAGTGTGTGTATTGGAGGGGCAGGTTTGGGGACAGTGCATCATTTCAGACTCTCTGAGCCCATCAGCAAGCAGGGACTGCTTCCTCTGCCCAGTGATGGAGAGCTGCCTTTGCTGTGACTGCTGATGTGGGGAAAGCATGGGGCTCCCTGGTAATAGATCCCAGCTGCTGGCTCAACCCTCCAGGCAAGTCAGTGCACAGCTGTCTTTAACTCACCTTCTTGAATGAAATTGGGGTTGATTATCTGAAAAATACAAAGAAATAGTACATATAAAGAAATTATTATTTTTCTGGACCATTACAAAGAGACATTTGGTTTCACAAGGTAACATGGTGAGGCTGACCAGAACTGCAGACACACTGACCAGTGGTATGAACAGTCTCTAACAACTGGCAAACACAGCAATCTCTGGTGACAACTGAGCAAACCTGTGCATGGTTGGAAAAGAAAATGAAAGCTACAGTTTTTGCAAGGCTGTTATGCATACTTTGTGTCAGCTACATCATAGGTAGCAGGCACAACAGTAGGGCTGAGGGAGGTGGATCGTGCTTTCTCCTTGCTTAGGTGATGCTCAAACCATTGACTGTTATCCATCTGGATGTGATTTGTGCCCCATGTGCCCAGCTCCAGACCCACCTGCAGCACCATGCACCTGGGCACCTCACCTGTGTGTTGGCCACTAACCAGCTCTGGGGAGTTCCTGCTCAGCTTCAGGGGAAAAAAAAGGTAAAGGGCTAAAACAAAAATACAAGCCTCTTTTCATATCAGTTCTGCAACATCCCATGGCTTATCGTGAGTAAGACGTTACTTGAGTCAAAAGGCTGATGGAAACTTTCTAATTGGTACCTTAGGATTGGATGACTCAGAGTTATTTTGTCTAACTAGTTAATTGATCAAGTTAGCAAAGACTTGAAAAGCCAGCATCTCACCATGGCCTATATTCATCAATTACATCATGCTAATCCTGGAAGAAAAGGTGGGGGATAACAAAGACGACAGCACCAAGTTCTCACATGCAACTCTACTCTCTGTTCTCAAATCTAACCATGTAGTGGTGCACCATTGTTTAAGTTTTTGCTTAGTTTTAGCCTCATCAGCAGGTATAAATATCAAGCAGAATAAATACCACTGTGGTTTATTTCACCTCAAATTTCTTTGTTACTATCTGTTCCAGAGCAGGTTTGGAAGTTGCCAATAAAGCAGTGACCTAATTCATGGTTTGCTAAAGCTGATAGGAGTTTTTGCAGTGGGCCACAAAAGAGGCCACAAAGCAGAAGCAGCAAGCCTTCAAACACGCAGATGCATTTTCAAGATGCATGTTTATTTTGGGAAGTTAAAAATAGTCTTCCAAGGTGAGTGGCTTGGGGTGACATCAAGGAGGTACTGGAGTACATTCAGATTACATTCAGATCTGTTTCAGCACCACAGCCCTTCTTCATAGCTCTTGATAACTAGAACTGGTACCAGCACTGAGACCTCAAGCTCCATTTACCCCATCAATATCAGAACAGTAGGGCACAATACGGACTCGTTGCTCACACAGGGGCATTATTTTCCATGGAAACATACTTTCCATCGAGCACTGAGATTTCAAGCATTCACTCCCAGCATCCTGGAAGGCACCCCTCCCTCCCTTTTGCATCCCTAGAGAGGACTTTGAGAACTATTTCTATAGTCCTCATACAACCAGCACACTAATGGCCTCCTGTGTGCCATCTATCACCCCTGTGAGCCCTTCTCCTGGAACTGTTGCTCAGTGGGGACCAGGACCCCGTGGGCAAAAAAGAAAACACGGTGTAAGAGGGCACTGGATGAAGAAAAACATCTTTCCACCTGTGGGGAGGGAAAGAGGAGACAGCACTCCTGATTAAGTTCCAGCATTCACATGGCACTACAAAGGAAGAAAAAGCAGTGATGGAGATATCCATCTAAGAACCATCACTTGCCACTTGTCCCTAAATGAGACCATCTATTTATCAGATTAGTAGCCTGCAGCATCAGCTCATTTGCACATAAATCTTCATTTCTGGAATACAGATACATTTCCTGCAGCAATCTCCTGCCTTGCCTGCAGCATGCACTAAATTCCCTTATTACTCACTGAATTCTGTCCTGTAGGATTAGAGACTGGGAGAAATAAATGCTCTTAAAACTTTACATTAATTTCATAGTTCTAAAGTAACCATTAGAAGATACAGCTACAGTGATATATAAATTACAGATATATCTATAAATAAATAATGCTATATTTTAAATAATTTTCAAGGCACGATCGTTTATAATAATTGCCTTACCAATGTGCTTTTTTTTCTCCCATTGCCTTAACAATGCAATATCATAGAAGAAAAATTACTGCTCTTAGATGACACTGGAAGAGTCTTGGGGTAATATTTAGATTTCCTTTGATAAAACTTCAGCTGTTAATTGATAAAATGCTGCCTAACAACACCCCACAGCCGTATCTCAGCTTTCACCTCCTGTAAGCTTAGACAAAATTAAAGCTTTTAGGCAAGAGGATGCCATATGCCTCCAAAATGATCAAATGCATCACTTATTTTTTCCCCACTTTTCCTGATCCGAAAGGCTGGGCTGCCAACCAGACCCTTCATAACAGGATTCATGCTTCAGCTAAACAGCAGAGGGCATGTTTACTCCAAGGCAAGCAGCTCAGCATTTTGTAAACACTTCATGGCACTTCTTGTTTGCTGAGTTAAAATAAAATATTGACTCATTTGCTCGTGCTGGTAGCAGTCAGCAGCATACACCATTCTCCTTCTCTTAAAATAAAAAAACCAACACAAAACCAACAAATTAATGAGTCTCAGAAAAAATAATAATGACATGAGCTATAGGAGAACTAAACCAACTGCAATTTGTACAGAAGTCTCTCCCTGACTCGGTCAACTTTTACTGTGGGGATTCTGGAGGGACACAAGCTTTCCCTCCATGAAAAAAAATCACAAATTTCTTGACAAGAAGAGCAAATAAGGATCATCCTACATGTGGATAGGTGTCACAAAGGGAAAAGTAACTTAAAATGGTATTTGATGAAATGGTTTAAGAAATGAATGGCATCAGGCCTTTCAACCCCTTTGGTGGGGAGCCACCCATCAGCACAGATGGGCTCAGCTGACTTTGAGACTGACATAAGAGATGTTGACCATGTCATACAGAATCATAGGTTTGAGTTGGAAGGGATCTTTGAAGATCATCTGGTGCAGCTCCCTGCAATGAACAGGAGAACTGCGTCAAAGGCCTCACTGAAGTCCAGACAGATGACATCAAGTGACTCTTTCTTTGTCCACTGATGCAGTTACACCATCACAGAAAGCTGCTAGGTTGGTCGGGCAGGATTTGCCCATGGTGAAGCTCATGCTGGTTATCCTGTATCACCTCCCTCTCTTTCATGTGCCTTAGCATAGCTTCCAGGAGGATCTGTTCCATGTTCTTCCCTGGCACAGAGGTGAGGCTAGCAGGCTAGTAGTTTCCCAGGTCAGCCTTTCCACCTCTCTTAAAAATAGGTGTGGCATTGCCTTTTTACCAGCCACCAAGGACTCCACCTGAATGCCATGTCTTTTCAAATATCATTGAGAGAGGCACATGCATCCATCCTCTTCCCCGTGACAGGCTCCTTCTGTGGAGCTGCTAGCTGTGGGGTGTCTCTGGTTTTGAAGGCTACTGTGTGTTCCAGGCACTAAGTTATATAGCACTCTACCATCTACCTGCAGATGAAGCAGATCACTACTTCCTCTTTCAAAAGCTGAACTGCAGTAGCACTGCTGCCAGCAGACTTGGCACCTAATGAGCCACCTGCCCTCTGTTTCAGCATCCCTGCCCTGTAAGGGCAGCAGGACAGGAGCATGGCTGCTCTGAGCAAAGAGAGAGAGATTTGTGGGACCTGCACAGGTGGCTTGTGACCTCCCCAGCAATATTGAAACCTCACAGGGTGTTACAACACAGAGCTGTATGACATTCATGTCTGTGTCCAGGACCCCAGCCGTGGGTGTGGAGCTGTAGGCTGATTCACAGGGACACGCACCTTCTTCCCAGAAAAGGAACTGCCTGTTCCTGTGCAATTAGCTTATAGACACGCAAATGGACTGTCTGATCTGCTTTAAATATAGGTTACTCCTATCTCTCACATGGCTACAGCTGCTCTGTGAATGTCTGCTCCTACGCTCCACGTGCCCAACAGGCCCGCTTGCACCTTCTGTTTTCTGAAACAATAGGAACTATATTTCATTTCCATTCATATTCATTTTCATTGCATATTAACAAACTCAGAGAACAGAAACAGCCAACAAGAGATACAGTTCCTATTCCTAATTACAATGAATGGAAAGTTCTCCAGGGCCAGCATGTCCCTGTGTAGGCAAAAATACAGCAACAGCATTTTAGTGCTTTGAAAACAGCCACACAGTTCCAGCTTCCTGCTCTCACCGTATGTGTTCTCCACATTTCTTTCTTTCTGTATTTCCCCGTCAAACAAAGCAAAGTGCTTCAATAACCTGGAATCTGCTGAACAGGTATGTTTTACAGAGAGCAAGCAAAGGTGGAAGTGAAAGGGACTTCATGATATGACTAGCTTTCTCGCTTCTCACACAGGGAATAGGCTGGAGGTAAAACACACTGATATTTCTAAGTAATTAATATGGCTGCTTTGTATTCAGAGGTAGGTCTCTTTATTCTAGCACCAGGTGCATGTTTTCATGTATTACAGGAAGACATCAGCATGTCAGGGATGATAGGCTATAAAAGAGGCCAGATGACCCACCCAAGACTGCAGTAATAGTGACCAACACCTTCATGACCTGGGCAGGGCTGCATGCACCTCTGAACGGCGGTGGTTGGGGCAGGACAGAGCTCTGCATCAGCATTCCCACTGCCCATAGAAGTGTCACAAGGCAAGCCAGGTGTGGAGTATGGAGAGCTGACTGTACGCAAACAGCTTGAGGCCATAGGTACCCTCTACTGATAATTTTAAGACATCTGAGCTTCTCCTCCTATTCAGCAAAATCAAAATACAGAAACCCTCTGCAAAAGGAACAGTGATCCTCACCCAGCTCTATACGTCACCTCTCTACCTATCTTAGCTGATTTTTTTTGCTCACAGAACAATTTATGCACAGTAAATGTGCACTGCCTCACAATAAATAACATATGCTTCCAGTTGTTACCTGCGATTGGCAGAATGCTATTTGAAAGCACAAGGATACTCTTGAGAATAATGCAGCTTTAGTGGTAAGCACCGTTCAGTCTCAAGCATGTTAGCTGGGTCAAAGGCTTTCCATTAGTAAACATCCCCTTTGCAAAGATGTATTTATTGACACAAACACAATTAAAACAGAAGAGAGCCTTCAGGTTAAAAGCTTAGGTGGTGCATCCCCAAACTCTTTTCTATTCCTCCTCCAGGAGGAAGATCAGCTTTCTTCTGTGGGATGTTTGTAGTACAATCTGGCTAAGAGCATCCTGCAGATGTGATATCCCTGTTTGCCAATGACTTGCCCTACTATCTCTACAAAATCACAAAGGTCTCATGGAACCTTCTCCTCGCCTTTAAGCCTTGGTATAATGTACACAAGTGCTTAGTGTGGTCACTGTATAAAGACAAATGGGCTCTGCAACATTTTAATTGAGAAGAACCAGTTCTCATGACTTAAAGCTCCTTCTGGCTCTTGATAAGGTGTGTTTCAGTCACTCCACTAGAATCAATGGCTTCATGCTGGAAAAAATTAGTGTAAGGCATCACAAACTGGGTCTGCATTAGTCTGTAATACAAGCATATTAAAGCAACTAATTTTACCAAACTCTTTCAGTATCTTTAAAGAAATGCAGTTTCCCATTATTTATTGACATCATCTGCTAGGAGAAAAAATAAACTTTATCATTTCTGATCTAGACGATTTAAAGCACTTGCTGTGGTGCAACACTTGCTCCAGTAATTCACAACGTGGGTCTGACTAGCAGCTCAGCACGTGCTGTCAAGACAACAAGTGTTTTTAATACAGAAATACTACATTTCTTGGTAGTTGACATGCAAGTGCTATCACTGCATTGGACAAGGTCTTAGATGGGAAGCAGTGACTGCGGGCAGCCTCCAGCTCAGCAAGAACTTGTTCCTCAACTTCCTCCATTGCTGCTATCACAAAGGCAGCTCAAACTCCAGTTCACTGCCTGGTAAAACCAGAACTGGTGCTTTGTGTGACTCATATTTAATTGGCAGGTATGTCCGTGAGAGATGCAGACCCACCAGCTCCCCTTTCAGCAAAGGTATTTCAAAACAGGCACATGTTAATGGAAATAATAATGACAAAGATGATTGTCTCTACCTCCATGCTAGTATTGGGGTCAAGGTCATCACACTCTGATTCCTCTGAGCTGTTTGTCTCCTTGTTTGGCAGCATGAAGAGGAAGAAAGAGAACAAGAGATTAGTGGAGAGATTGGTTAGACAGGGCAGAGAAGCACAGGAACTGTGAGCACGGCAATGAGTAACAGGAAAAAAAACGTTCCACAGAAAAAACCCAACTCCAAACCAAACCAACAAAACAAGGGAAGAAAAGGCAAAGACGTGCTTTGGCAAAGAAGAGGCAGTGATGCTGCAGGTTGTTCTGGCAGCACAGCAGCAGGGAAGCAGCAGCAGAAGCACTGTGACCACCATGCAGCAGCTACTGCTGCTCCGAGGCCGGCCCTGGGTGCGAGGGACGGGTGGCTTGTAGTGGCCTTTGCACATGCTATCTCTGTTTCACTAGGCAGACGTGACGGAAAGCCTCCAGAAAGGAAAACACTTAATCACGGGCTCTCCTGGAAGGGGGTGGATCCATAGTACATGCTCAAGTGCTTTCCTGAATCTTTGGTTGTGTCAGAACCACAACAAGCGTTTGCTTGCCTCTGTTGGGAGGGCAGGCCCCCACATTAGTCCTGAGCAGGCCTCATGGTCGAGTTATAGGGACGGATCCTCTGAATTGAAGCACAGTAGTCAGGTACCCAGAGCAGAAGATGGAGCTTAACCCCACCGTTCTCAACCTTTTCCCTACTGGGAGATCTCAGAGAGAGAGAGACAGACAGACACGGACATACACGGACACACAGACAAAACCCTCTCCTCGCAAGACTGAGTCAGCATCTCTTCCCTGTCTGATAATATGGAAGTGAAAAGGTCATTGAGACCATCTCCCCTGAGCAAATATCTTAAGCATCTCAAGGTTGAGAATCCTTTATTGTAACCTGTGGGGAAATTTTGGCCTAAGGAAAACTTGTCAGTGTCAATAAGGCCATCGTTTCACCTGGCGGCTTTCTAACTGCTGCAGTTGCTCTGATGCCACTGCAGACTGGGACAAATCAGAGGTAGATCAGACACTGTTTTCTCAATGTTAAGAGCAGTTATTTAACCTCATAAATAGCTTTTGTTTGTTTGTTTGTTTAATGAAGATTACTTACTTGCAGGAGGGATGCCAAGAAAAAGAAAATGAAAAACAAAGGCTGCATTTTATCTTGCATGCAAAAATCCTGCTAAAACGAATATTAAAAAAACAAAAACAAAAACAAAAGGAAAAAAATATAACTGAAGTGGGGAAAAAAAAAACACCAAACCCCAAGTTGCCGCTCCCTCCCTCTCTCAGGAGAGGATGCTATAGGGGGTGAAAATGATGGGAAGCAGGAGAGCGGCACACAGCTTTCAGATGGCCTTACTCACTTTAACAGAGACTTTGTTCCCCAGAATATCCTTGGATTTACGTGGCCCATTGGCTTCATTTTTGCCACTGCTCTCCTTTTCCGCCCGCTTTCTCATGCGCAGGGTATGCCATGAACATGACTTCCTGTTGTACCAAAAAACGCAGCAATCAAATGGCAAATCATAGCAAGGAAGGAAGGATTTGGAAAGGGGAACCAGCATCCATGTTTGCAATTACTGCAATTCCCTAGAAGGTGAAAGCCACTGGCAATATGCCTATCTCTATTTTAGCAATGAGAGTTGAAGTTAAAAAACAAACCAAACAGTTCTGCAAAGCAGATGTTGTGCCACACTTGCTGTTTAGATGCATGGACCAGGAAAAAAAAAATACCATGATGGAAACAGGCAACTAGAATGTGGTCATCTGGTTTCAAGATTTTGTCTTGCATTGCCACAGACAGAAATTTTTTTATTTTTGCTACAGGTTTAAGGTCAATTTAGACCTCAATCTTGTTGGTTAAAGCAGTCAAATGAATGCAAATAAACGAGAACTGTTTTAATATATCACATAATAGAGCAAATTAAAATTTTTAAGAAATTCAAGGTATCTTTCTCTACGTTTCTCAGAATACGAATAGCTCAAAAGATAGGTGCTACATCATTAACTTTCCAAGAGATAAGTCATTCCCTAGAATGACAAGCTCTGCTGTGCCTCTCAAGACCAAGAATTTCCCATTAGTATAATAATTGATTTTGCCAGTTTGGAGAGGAAGGATGTCAATCAGTCCATGCTTTTTGGCTAGCACCACAGCAGGTATGATTTGCAGTACACATTTCACCCCTCATTACTGCACCTACGACCTTACTCTTGGAAAAAAAGAAAAAAGACCATGTCACCCTTTGTAAGAGCAATGCTATGTTGACAACAGAAATTGCATGTCAAAGCAGACACAAAAAAAAAAAAAAAAAAAAAAAAAAAAAAAGTCCCCAAAAAACCCCCAAACACTTCTCAATATGAATTTCATTTGGTTTAAATAGTGAGCAGGTTGGGGAGGATTTGGGAAGGTTACATTGTCCAAAGCAGAAAGCTCTCAAAACAGCAGTGTGATGAGCTGGGATCCAGGTTCAAAGCATCTGCCCACCTTTAAGTCATGCAAATTTGATTTGCATGTTTTAAGCCCAATGTTTGGCACATGTCATGTCTACAGTACCTTGATACATTTTACAAAGCAAGTTGCATGTAATCCAACGACCACCTGCGATGCCAATAAAATGCAGTATGTTAGCAAGGTAGGACTCAAAGGATGCCCCACACAGCTGATGTACCCCCAAGAACTCTGTGGCCATTTCATCAGCTTATTTTTTGTTGTAATCCAGCACCTGGTTGACACTGTGCAATAGCTCATTTTTAAGAAAGTAAAATTAATGTTCTCCCAACAACTGGCTGCACTGACACAAGACTAAAATGGTTCGTACTGTGTTTGTGTGGTGTTAACAGCTGGCATGGGCAGTTGTGTTTTGGCACAAGGAGCACCAACATGTCCTGCACATCCCGGCCAGTAGGTACTGCCTGGTATTTGGGCATTTCTGGAGGAGGTCCAAATTAGGTGTGCAGAGCAGGAGAAGTTATCCAACACTTCGAGACTGTGATACTGTCCTTTAAGATACAGTTGAGTAAGAGTGATCGAAGTCCTGGCTGATGGACTTCCTGACCTTCACTTATCATGATGCCAGCACTATTGCATCTACCACATATTTTGTGTACAGTATTTGTCAACAGAAGAAACAGTTTATTACTTATAAGTCCACATAATGTGGCAGACTAGATGGGGCTGAAGATAACACCTGCTCCAGGTAATTTTTTACCCATATGACTTACAGTAGAAAGTCAGCCAAGCATCTTTTTGTTTCAGGGTTGTTTTAGTTCTTTGAATCTGCAAACATGATTTTAAGTGTCTTTAAGTGTCACTGCAGTGAGAAAGAGAGAAGTGCAATGCATGTGCCTTTCAATTCTGATAAGCCTTCCTGGCCCCAATTCATACATATCACACAATTTGACTGTACAGCTGCCATGGAAAAAAAGTCTTCACCAGGAACCTGGTGCTGGGGGTGAATGTAAAGGCACAAGTTTGCAGAGCTTGGTTGTAGGAGGAACTCAGGAATGGCTGTGGCACACATGCAAGAGACGTGCTGAGCAATTCCTCTGGCTTAGCATGCCATTCATAGTAGCATTCAGTTGTATGCTTGAGATCACTGACTCATGGGTCGAGTCACCATTTTTTCTTGGCCAAAATATCAGCAGATTTCAAATTATTATTTTTAGTGAAACTGCCACAAAATCTTTCTTCATATTCAATTCTGTGCTTCAAGGCACTCGTGGAAGACAACAGAATTTGCAGCACACATCATGCATTACCATGTAGTTGTTCTAGATGTTAAAAGAAATCAGTCGGTATTACTTGAAAAGAGGGTTGTACCTTCAGTATTTAATACCAAAAAACCACTTTCTTGCATTTCAGACTGACAAATTTCTAAAAATCAAGAAAGAAAAATATATATCCACACATTTGTTAAATAAGCAACAAAAAGTTATAAACAAAACAAAACAACAACAACAAAAAATCAAATAAAACCAAAACAAAAAAGGGTCAAACTAGTTCTTTTACCTCATTAAAACATGCTCATGGTGAAGATTTATTTTACATATTTAAAATAGTACATTTAAAATTAGTTACATGACAGGTACAATGATGAACATTGCGACTATCCATTATATTGCACAACCTGACTTCATCAGTATGAGTTTGTTTCTTTCTTCTTTTTTTTTAAATAGTGCAAAATACTTTATACAGGAATGTATTTGTATGGGGGTCTTGCAAACCAAAAAATATTTTACAAAAGAAACTGCAAACAGAAAAAAAGAACAAACCAACCAAAGAAACAAACAAAAAAAAGATACAAAGCTGTACAAGAAAATTGCCATAGACAATTCTAAACAAAATCTCTCCTCTTAGAGAAGCGAATCTCAGTCCAACACAGGGCCTGATTATTTTTTGCCAGATGCTGTTATAACCCATATATAGATTAGTAACTTAATACAACATAAATATAAGTCCAGTCCAAGCAGGTCCATGTTGGTGTAAAATGGTGTAACACAAAATATGTCTTTAACCAACTATGGTTTTATTTCTCTCCAAAGGATAAACAAAACCCCACATAATGTAAATAAGCAGAACCCGAGCTATCCACCATGGCTGCCCGACGCTGCAGATTGACCACTCAGCTTGCTCCAATGGCACTGTAGATAAAAATCAGCAGGAACTCCCTACCATCTGGATTTATTTTTATTTTTATTTTTTTCCTCAAAAACATCCACATAGTGCTCCCAGCGAAGTCAACATGGCACTTACTTGATGCTTCCGTCGCTATTATCTGTAGTGGATTTAGTGAGGGGAGCCAAGATATTGCCAGGGATCCATCCTTCAGCAGCTGGAGAGTGGTCGTTTGCGGGCTGGTACACCAGGAACATGTTCTGCTGGTTGATAGCAAGGATCTGAACCACCTCTCCTTGATTCACACAGATCTCGTCCTCCTTCAGTGCATAGTAATCTTTAATCACCACCATGGATGAGGTCCCATTGCACCCTCCCAAATCAGTCTGTGAAAATGGACACAATGGAAACGTGGTGAGAAGGTGGCAGTGAGGAACCTGCCTTTTCTGGCAGTAATCACGGCACTTCATTCAGAGCCTCAGAGCCTAACTGCACCAGGGAAGAAGATACAAATTACCTGATAGTGTTCAGATTAGATATTAAGAAAAATTTCTTCTGAGAAGGAGTGATGATGCAGTGGCACAGGCTGCCCAGAGAGGTGGTGAGTCACCATCCCTGGGGGTGTTCAAGAACCATGGAGATGAGGCATTGAAGAACACGGTTAGTGGGCATGGTTGGGATGGACTGATGGTTGGACTTGGTGATTTTAGTAGTCTTTTCAAACTTACTGATTCTATGATTCTACAGTAATTTATATGGGTAGAGAAAGATTTTAAGGATTAGCATGAATCTGACAGAAACCAGCTTCCTGCTTCCCATTAGATTTCATAGCTATTCCAGCAGTACAGTACCAAGCTGTGTTCTGGTATTGTGGATGAACCACCTGCATGGAACCAAATGTGGGGGGGAAAAACCCATGAAGGCTCACATTAGAAATCAAAATAATACACATTTCATATTCTTAAATATAATTCTTACTGGAAGGTGGCTTTGGTCAGTATCAGCCAACTGCTGTGTCTAAACACTGCTGGACTGACTCTTTGGTGGCTTCTGTGAATTGTGTCCAGTGTAGGGCACGCACATCTGAATTACAACCTTCATTTGGCACTCTGCGATGCAGGCTATTTAAACCATCAGAGCAGACCTCTTCAGGAATGGGTGGTTAATGGATATTAGGGAAGCTTGGATATTACTGTTGCCAGTACTGCAAACGGAAATTCAGTTTAGCAGGTCTGCAAATACAGTGCCCTGAAAAACTCTTGGGTTCAGTGCTCCAGGGGCAGGCTCTGTCTCAGCTTTCCAGCTGAAGAGCCAACTGCCTGAACACCAGAACTTCCACAGTCTGCATTCAATTCCAAACCACATTTCATATCATTGCTTCAGTCTGTTGATTGCTGTTGACCTGGTTGGCTGACAATTAGAGCTAACTTTACAGACAGTATGAGAAGCAGGCAATGAAATCATGTTTTATCAGACGAGTGCAGTACCTTGCTCTGTTCATACTTGTCTCCAGGCTGTTCATACCCTGTATTGCCATTGGAGGTAGATATCTTCAGGGGTGGGAGAGATGGGTTACGGCTTGTAGCCTTCAAAGGCTTCTCAGACCCTACTGGAACAGAAGAATAGGGTCTGCTGTTGGGCTGAGCGACCCTACCGGCCTGGGGCCTCAGCACTGCTGTGCTACTTTCTTTGCGTTGGTACTCTATGGGAGACTGCAGTGCTGCAAAAGAAGACAAGAATTAGCTATACATTTCCAGTGACATTGCAAAGGGATATAGAGAGTGCATGTTCAATCAGAACAGACACAGTAGTTGCAAAACAAACAGGCACATAAAATGCCACCCATGGAAGCACAGGGCGCATTCATGGCTAGACAGGATGCAAGCATCTTGCACTGCACTGTGCATGAACTGAAGAGTGCACTAAAATATTTGCCATTTACAGCATACGTAGCTGCATTAATTGTCTTTGAAACTGCACAAATAAAACATCATAAAAATAATCCTATAATAAAAATAACTGAAAGTCTGAATAGGAGACTCACAGCTTATTTACAGTGATTTTTGTTTATCATCAGGAAATACGGATCAAGACCCATAAGTCTCATCTGTATATTTCCATGAGAGCTTGACTACTAAATTCTCTTCAAATATGATGCGCTGGAACTTGTCTCCCTATGGATTTTCTATATTAACTGATTTGGTTCAAAGAAATCACTGGAGATGATCGACAAGTGAAGAAATATAGATGGTACAATGATATTAATCCCAGCAGCCCAAACCTCTCCAGAAAACAGCCACAAGCAACATCAAACAGCTTCACAAGCCTTACAAAAGATTCTGCTTGTGAGAGTATCTTTTCTAGTCATAGATAGAGCTCACACTGGGGAAAGAAGGATAAAATGCCAGATGGTGAAAAAATAAAGAATGTGATAAGTTTGGAGGACAAGGAACAAGGGCTAGGACTTATGTGGAATGGGAAAGAGACAGATTTACTAGGCTCAGACTCCTATCCCCAGACCTATGGGTTTGCTTTCTACATGTCGTGTGGCTTCAGTGGCTGATTTATAGGCAGTTAATACTGTCTGTGTACATGCACCAGACTAAACCTACTGGAATGCAGAGAGACTTGTCTAGCAAGAGGCAGACAGGAGGACACAGTGTCACAGCATCAGCCCAGCCGGGGAACCACAACAGAAAGAATGTCTTTCCCAACAAGAGGAAAAGGAAAGACAAACAGAAAGGCTCAGCACCACACAATATGCTCCCCTTCCAGAGAAAGGCAGGGCTCGTACAACAAGAAACCACTTAATACTAGAGAACAAAAGACTAAAACAAGTCAAGGAGGCCAGATTGCTTTTTTCCTCAAAAGGACAGACATTTTAACAGAGACCTGTAGCAATCTGAAGGACTGCTCGCTCAAAAGCCCAGGCAGTGACTCAAGTTTATGCCACAGATATAACCCATTTCACTTGCTTACCTCAGCTGCCACTGAAAATGCTTTGGTCCTGCTGCAGACCAGCCACCAAGGAGGAGGAATGTTAGGGAGATGTTTGGCAGTGATTTCAACAGTGACATTTCACTAGAATATGCAGCAGATTAGGCTGCAAGGTCTTTAGCAATAAGACCTGGAGAAGAATGTCTCTATCTTGAAACAGTTGATGCTCTCCACTGCTTTTAAAGGACACTTGGTTGAGCGTCCACTTGTGGCTACTAAATCCAGTTAGCTAAGAGAGGGGTGCCTGGCTTCCCACCTCCTCTTAAACATCTGTTACTATTCTCACAGGCTCCTGGCAAAAATCAATGTGCATGTACTTGCTCTCTCAGGAAAAACTCATAAAGCATGATAAAAATGTTACAGATCAGTGGCATTTTTTATATGAAGTACATCCATCAGTGACATACTTTCTTTACAGCTTACTTCTTAAAAGCTAAAGGAGAGAACATTCACTATAGCCAATCATTTTGTGCAGTCTGTTTGTTAAGCTTAGCACCTTTTCTTATCCCAAAGAAAAATATGGAAAGCTTGAATATTACAGTGTAATTGCACCACATTTCACATGTATGAACTGAGAATGCAGATACTGTGCTTTGCACATAGTTCCTTATTTGTTAGGGCTTTCCTAAACAAATCAGAAAAATCAGGTACAGCTTGATCAAGAACACATAGGGAATATACTGTTATTTAGTTTATGCAGCATCAGCTCAGTGTTAGTTTAATATGATTTTAAAGACAGAAAACATCCACTTTAATGAAATGGAAAGCTAAAGAACGTATTTAAAGATTAATCAGCCTCAAAGAGATTACATCCTAGAAGCCACTTAAATTGTTCTAGACTGGACAAACTTGACTGGATGCAATACCATTTTCTTGGATCTTATTTATAGGTTTAAAGCAAATACTTCAGCTTGTGTTTTAATATAAATCTACTTTTACTTCTAGCTTTAGAGATACTGAAGATTACCTTCCTAACCCATCAAATTCCATGCTGGAAGATGGCTACAGAGGGGCTGCAAAGGTACTACAGTAGAAAAACTTTTGAGAAGTAAAGCTGTGTTAAATTGAAATTAGAAAACCAAAACCAAAACCTATAAAAACTCCACGCTGAAGAAAAGAGAAGCTTTCTTTGGATATGAATTGAAAGAAATTCTTCAGATTTTGCAACAAAAAAATCCACAAAATAGAACGCTCCAAATCAAAAACGTGAACACACTGTGCCAAGCCAAAACATTTTGATTCAAGCTAGCAAGTTTCACTATAGCAATCATTTATTAAGGTTTTTTAAATATAAAATGCTTTTTTAATGTAAGCTCAATTAAAAAAAAAACATGTTTTGATATGAATAGTACGAAACAATTTTGGAGGCTTCCAAAGAAATGTTCCTGCTTTGTTGCTCCCAACAACAGACAAAAAGAGATACCATTTTTATTTTTTCCCTCCAGTCCTGGTTCCTTATTAATTGAATTTGATTCCTCTGTATTTCAAAATCCATTTTTGCTGATCATGTGTGTGCTGTTTGTTTTTGTTTTTAATAAAAACAGATTTAATTTGAAATACAATTTCAAACCACCCCAAATATCTTCCTAAAGCAAAGCTGACATCTTCAACAGGCCCTTGTTGATGCACAGCTCTGCAGAGTGTCACTACCTGGTCCTTTTTCAAAGACCAGCTGACACCTTATGAGGCCTCTTTCACATGTACTCTGTGGATAGCACTTGACCCAGTTCTTGATGACAGGCAGACTGGGCTCTCATTTTCTCCATGGGATTTTCCATATGAACAAGAAGTTGCTGAATAGTTTTTTGCCCAGAGTGAGCAAAGATGCAAAGATTCTGAGTCCCACTTAGTGTCACTGTTTGGGAAAAAGTGCAAAGCCCATGTACATACCATTTAGGAAATCCCTTTGTGTGTCCAGGACCTGGTTGATGTCCTGTACCCAAGCCTGCTGAATTTCTGGATTAGCTGCCTGTAAAATGACTCTCTCAGATGTTTCCCGGTTCACTAGAGCAAACCTGCAGGGATCACTGTCCACGTTTTCTTCAATGACAAGGTAGTTCATCTGAAATAAGCCAAGGGAAGCATGTGTTACACGGAGCATGACTTAGCATTACTCAAGAATCAGAACAGAACTTTGTGAAAAGTTCCTGAAAATAACTGAGCCCAATAACAGACTGCCAGGGCATAATCAGAAGAACTTGCCTCACCTAGATTTAGGGAGGTAAACTTCAAGCTTTGACAGACATACTAGACATCCATCTGCCTTGCTTTGAATTACAATTTCTATTTTAAGGTAACATAGACTTGACTGATGAGCTAAAAATTTACTATAACCCATAAATAAACTGTTCTTATTAAGATGTTAATAAGGTCTATCATTCCTTCAATTTAAGTGAGTGTTTACATTTCTTATCCTTCATGGAAAGAAATTATCTGTCTAGTGACAGAAAATTAACATCTTAAATGGAATGGACACTGTACAAGGATATTAAAAAAAAAAAAAAAAAAGAACACTGAAGCTGCAATAGATCTTATTTCTAGTGGAAGGCACTGTCATCTGCATGTGTTTGTTTGACTTGAGCACAGTCACAGATACTCTTCCTAGAAATCTCATGGATGGGAATTTCATCTGTAGGATAACATGTCCTTCTGTGCAAGTGCATTCATAACTTTGACTTCTCCTGGATAACTCATGTCTGCAACAGTAAACAAGAATAGGCTGGCATAGCTTTTCTGCTCTAGTGGACAATTCAGGATTAACATAACAGAAGCTTGACAAAGATGTTAGTTTACAAGTTGCTGTAAAAAAGAAAAAAAAAAAAAAAAGAGTCTTGTCAAAGATAGATGGCTCTGAAGGCTATGGTCAGAACATCCCTCTAGAAGAGGTCCAAGTCCTGTTGCTGTATCTGTCAAGATATAGAGAGGTCTACTCCACATCTGAATGCTGCATTTAATCTGTGAGATGGAAGGAGCCTCTTCCCTCCCTTCCATGGTTCCCTGTGGACTTTGTGAAGCAGGCAGGAACCATTTTGACAGGGAAATAAGGGAAGGGGTGGACCAGGAGCTTGGAAAGTGTTCTCCCCCTCTTGTTCTGAGCTGCTGTTCCTCTGGCTGATAACCAAAGCAAGCATGTCAGTCCTATACGACTCCAAGAAAAGAACTCATAGGTCAGAGTTCTAAGACTACTGTTGGTGTCTCAGGCAGATGCATTTGCCAAGGCTGTCCACTTAAGTATTTTGAGAGCTTGACAGGCATCCGACTGAGCAGTGTCCGAGAAGGGATGTGCTATTTCTGAAAGCCAACTACACCTCACTGCATAAAGAAAGATTCTTCTCCAATGTAGGACATCATGATGAAGCCCCTGTCACTATCCAAGTGTGACAGACCTTGGATAGAGGAAAGAAATGGGACTTCTGGTGCTGGCTTGGTCCTCCTGCTGGGTGGGAGGATGTGACCAGTAAGGAAACAGCCTACGTCTCTCAGGAAGTGTCTCCCAGAGAGCTGGACAACCATCATGGAAGATGGGATCAAAGCGTAACAATGGGAAAATACAGGAGCACTGCAAAAGCAACCAGAAGCTGAATCAGGGGCTGGGAGCAGGCTGGGAGTGTTGCAGGAATGCAGACTCCCAGCTGCAGTGGGGGAGATGCATGTGGAGCCACGGGGGATCCCACATTTGCTGTAGTTACTCAACAGGAGAATGAGCTGTTTGCCAAATGGAAGAAAAGAGGGACTGGAAAATTATCACACAGAGATTTTAAAGCAACTCAGGCACTGGGAACAGCATTACTTTAATAAGCTGTTTAACTAGAAAAGCAACCCATACCCTCGAGGCAAGCTAATTTTATTGACATTAGAAGAGATTTATTTTTCTCTCTTTATCTACAATATACAATTCAGGAATTGTTTCCTGCAGATAAAAGCCTCGTTGTTATACACACAATAAACTGAAGTAAAAATGATTCATGTTATTTCTATCTCCAAATTGAATCATGATTTAATTCAGCAGCAGGATAAAATCAAAGCTGCTCATCTAAATCAAGATTATTATTTATTTGTAAACTTTAGGTTTTTCCTTTCTAGCTTATTACTTGGCTGAAAACTCTACAGAACACTGACTTGCAAATGAATTGAATATGCTTTTCAGCAAATGCTGCAGTTTCTGTCTGCCAAGAAGATGCCTATTATCTATTATAACAGGTTATATGGTTAATATGCATTATTTTATCTGACATTGTTCTCTTCTGTTTCATACTAATGAATCATTTAAAATTTAAAGCAAACACAATGCATTCTCCCACATTTTGTTTTAAATGCACTTTGGGAAGGAAATCAGTTCCAGACTGGTTTCTCAGCTTTGAATGGTGACGACATTCAGATGAACGAGTGACTTAGCTCTTTTCCAGCTACAGCAAAGGCTGTTTTACTGAAAGAAGTGGAGCATTCAACCTCAGCTACATTCCAGAGGTGAATTCTGCCTTTCTCAAACAAACACAGAAACCCTTGGAAAAACAATAAACATGTTTTCCCTGATTACTTTTAGTTTTTACTTCTAAATCCAGCCCAATACTCTGGAAAGATTATTTGAAAATTAAATCAATTTCTTAAAGCTTTCTCAATAGTTTATCTAGCTTTGTAATTCCTTATCTACATTTATTTTTATGGGTATTTTTGTTTGGTTTTGAAATAGTTCTATCACGTGCAACATTCACATTTGCATCAAGAGTTCCACCCCCTCAGGAAGGGTATTTCCAGTAATGTCACATCCAGTGACTTACAGTTAGGCTTAAGTAGACGGTTTTGTTTCCCCCACCTTTTACGATCACACTTAAAAACAACTATTATGCACTTACTTTTCCTAATGCAGGCTTTGTAGCAATATTTGCTAACTCAGACCTACGTGTGAAAGAAGAGCTGCCCAGTAAATATAGGCACTCAGTGGTTTACTTCATGACATTGGTCTTTAATGGCTTCTGATCTACTGTAAACTAAATGCCAATGTTTTCCACAAAATGTTGTCCACCTATGACAGGACAGACCAGTCTCACAGTACAGAAAATTGGTTAAGACATCTCTGTGTGACAGTCAAACAGAATATGGACCTCTCACTCTATTTCTTACCTTTATGCTTTTCTTGAACATGTACCCTGGTGTTAAAGATCCTTTCCTAAGCAGCTCACTGAAGATAACTATTTGCTCAAAGAGAAACACTCTGCGTTCCTTCGGTCGAGACTGAACTCCGGAGTCCTGCTCTGTCACGTAGAAGGTGTCCTGCTGCAGCAGCTTGCCCTGGGCTGTCAGCTTACCCTGAGGAGCAATCAAGGAACCAACGTTACAAATTCTGACTCTGTGTGGTTCCATGAAATGATCTTCTATACTTTGCAGTCCTCTCTTACCAGGTCTGCCAAAGACTACACTGTCAACATTCAGTTACAACCCCCAAGTTATAACCCCAACCTGTGGGGTTAGATCCCTGCCTGGATGTGCTAGGCTTGAAGAGAGCTGATAAGCTGTTAGTGCTTGGTGACCTTATAACAAACAGAACAGTCTGGTTCAATGTTTATTTTGCTCTGACAGCACAGATAAGAAGTCTAATTCAGGCTTGCAAAAGCTTTTACAGATCTTGCATTTTGAAGAAACAACACCTTTATTGTTGCAAGTTTAGGATGACAGGCATATCACCTATCTCCACCTTTGAAACCTCACCAAAGTATGCAGCTCACCACTGGAGAAGGCCAATTGTTAGATAAATAGCTTGAGGAGGGGCTGATTGTGGAGACAATCACAGAAAGACAAAGCACCTTTCCTACCCTGGCTGTTATTAAAGCAGAACATACCTCAAAGCCTTGGAGGCGACCCAGGTTCATCATATCATTGCAACGTTTTGGTACAAGGCACATTAACTCAACTGCTTTCTGTTAAGAAGAACAAAGGTTGCATTGGTAAAGGGTCCCTAAAAGCAAAGCGGCAAATAACAAACTTCAATAGTGTGATCACTGCTAGAAGGTATTCATGGCAAGGTCCTCATGTACTTGACATCTATGATAATGTCTAAAAGAGAACTGTGCCTTCATCTTATACTTCTGTCTCGATCTAAAGAGAAATACCGCATTTGGAATATCAGCAGGACCTTCAATAATTGTTAAATACTGTGGTTTGATTTCTCCATATAAAGGGCCCTTAGATATTGCAGCACCACTATCCAGGCCATGAAAACGTACCTCTATTTCAGAGCACTCCAGACCAGCTTTTTCACTGTACCTCAGGAAGTCCTGGAGAAAGCAGAAACGTTTGCATTAAGGCACTTCAGAAAGAGAAAAGAGAAGATGCCAGTTTTAAAAAAGAAGCAGCACATTTATCAAGTCATTTTTCTGTGAAGGAACTTGCTGGAGAAGACAGAGCATGGTTTAGACATGCCTAATTTTGGCTATCACCTTGAGACACCTAGGGATGGATTTTCAGAAATGCTGAGTAATTGGCATTGTGGGTAAAGTTGGCAGAAGTCATAGCAGTCAGACTTGGGAAAAAAATACCATGGATTCTCCCAATTTTCAGACCAGAATATTGTGTAAATATTCAGAAGAGGGATTTTCAGAAATGAAAGCTGCAGTGTTTATTAGAAGAGTATCATTCAGCAGCAAAGAATGGCATTGTCAGCACTATTTCCTGCCTATGTTGCAATCTCGAAAGTTTGATTGTGAGTTTGCTGTGAAATTTCAGAGGCTGAAAAGTTCTATTTGAAGTTTACAGAAATATTCCAACAGAAAATAAGAAAAGTCTTCTGATTATCACTGGTTACAAACAGCTCTCACAGATGGGACCCTCCTGCCCTCTGGGTATCTTTCACAGGGCTCAACCACTGCATGCTTACATATAAACACTCTTTCTTCCTAACATGATGAAGTTACTCTTCAATTAAAACTGAAAATAACAGTGTCCAAGATACAGGGTAGTCCAAACCTCATCTTTCCACTCACCTTGAGAAGAAGCTGATATTTAGTTATTCTCTGAATGGGTTTGATCAGAAAGTCACTGATGGTCAGCCGTTGGTTTATTTCCTGTTGAACCTCCTAAAAAGTGAAGATTAAAAAACAACTGCAAACAAGCACAGAGTAAAGCAGAGAACACGATAAAATGTCTCCACAGAGACTTACTTCTACAGAAAGCTGATCTGTTTTTAATCTTTTGTTTGTAAGAGCGAATTTCAGAGGATTTAAAAGTCTGGCATCTCCTATCTAGGCAGAGACTGGGTAAAAGTCATGACCGAGCTGGAAGATATTTGAAAGCACAAGATTCCTTTCCCCTTGGAGCTGACCGTGCTGCAAGGCCTGGAGACGGCTCTCCCCACCGCAGCAGGGATTTGCTCACAAACAAGTCCTACAGAACACGCCTCGTGCCCTTGGCTGAAACAAAACAGCTTTCTGTATTTAAACAAGCTTCTTTCACATTACTATCTAAGGTCGAGATATTATATGTGTCTAGTCCCAAAGACTTCTTGAATCAGACGAAGTTACTGGAAGTTTATGAGAGGCACCACCCAGCTCCAACGACTTTTACCTCCTCCTCTGTAGATTACAGATCAAAATGTCTGTTTTATTTATTTTGGACAGAATTCAGTGCGGTTGTGGCACTCTGAGGATGACACTGAGTGCTGGAATAAGTAGTTATTAGAAATTAACGACATGAGAATTTGAGACAGATGGAAGAACATTTTTCCCCACAGCGCAGACTTCAGCAGCACTCACAATATCAACATCATCTGGAGTTTGTTTTAGACAAACCTCACAGGTTACAGCACAGTCTACTAAGACTCACAGCTGTAGATAGTAATAACGTATAATGAGCCATGCTTACCTCAAAATATGTCTCGTACTCAGCTACTACATATTCAGATCGTGGCTTGTTTTGGCAGTACACCACATACATGTGTAATCGCCGCTCCTGTGAAAGCAAGATGCACAGCAGCCTGGTGAGATAGCGGCTGCTATTCTGTTCTGCTTTTAAAAGCTGGCAGAAAATTGCCTAGATGTTCTGCTTGGACATCTTCATTTTTGGTTTAATCAAAAATTTGCTGACATGGCAATGTAAATCGGCAACCGGTTTTGTTCTCCACTTCTATCCCTTCAGCAAGGCAAAGGTTGCCTTGGGGGCAACCACTTAATTAAGAAATCAATTTCCCCCCCAAAATAAGAAGTCTACAAGAAGCTGATGATACTGCTTCAGGGAAATCCAGCAGCTCACTGAAGATGCATAACTATAGGTTAATTACTTTATATCACGTTTCAAATGTCAAAGTATCCAGCTGACACAAGCAGATGTTTTTGGAAAGGAGTCATCACACCCTAAATGATGAGTAGACTAAAAGATAGGTAACCGAATAAAACTTACATGTTTAATAAAAAGCTGTGCTAAACGGTCATGCTCCTGAAGACATTTTTCCAGTTCAGCCAGGAAAAAGCTGAAAGAAAGGATATCAACATTTCCAACACTTCAGAAGACTTTTTTAGGTCGTCCCAGCAGCAAACCAGTCATTTGTCAGTAATACATCAATGCAGTTTTAGCTGTGGCATTCAATAATAAATGAAAAGAGAAGCTTGGCTTCAGCCCTCGGTGGGGGCATTTCTAAAACAGTGAACTCTGTTTTAGAGTTAGCTCTGAAATATGGAGGTATTTTCTTGCAAACTATCCCCTCTTCTTTATTGTTACACTTACAGAAGTTCCAATGCTTTTAAACTGCCAATGATTACCTAACTGCATTCTCCCCTGGGAACTTATAAAATAGAACTCTTCTGTGTATCTAAACATTTGTGAAAACCCAACTGATACTTTACAAGGAGTTCTCAGTTGCATGAGCAGATAGGGAGCACTGGTCAGCATGAAAGAGACACAAAAGTTTCCACTTGAATAAACAAATCAATACAGGCATGCTCTGTTTTACACTATTTCTCAATATGCTACTGTTAGTTATATTTATAAACAGCCTCTATCTTGACCTGCATCTTTGGTAGGTGCCTGCTTGAATGCTTAAAAGTGACATAAACGCAGTTCAACCAAATTTCAGAAACGCTGTTGTTATTCTAACTGGTAGGTAAACTCTGATATTCTCTATTTCCATGATATTCCCTTTTCACCACAGGATTTTTCTCCCAAATGCCTCCATATATTTCCCACAGTAGCCAAATGCAGAGCATATACCAGCAACAGTTTGGTCCCAAGAAATCCCAGAATCTCAAAAAAGATGCACACTGAATATCTGTCCCAGCTAAATGTCCCTATGACTGCCATCAGCTACAGCTATTTTCATAACTCAGTCTTGTATGAAAGTGAAATTCATCTGCATTTTAAACAGACTTCTCGACCTAGATACGCAGAACCAAAAATAGGGACTCTATGTGTTACAGAAAACTCGTATCATCACAAACAATGACTGACACTGGCAAAAATATTCTGTTGCTGACATAAACTTACTATTTTGTGAATGTTTTTCTGACATTTTTTGGTTTATGCTTGCAAGAGCTGTTGTCAGAAGCGGACCATGTGAGAGGCACCCAAGGGATGGGTGATGGCAAGGACACAGTGATACCTTGGTGAGGGATACATCCAGAGCAGAGGAAAGACAGTGAGGCAATGTCCTTAGGAAGCTGTGCCCTAAATGACCTGCTAATGTTCAATTAAAGTCAACTTAGACGTAAGGATACTGCATACCCCAATCCTTCATGAACAAGTGGTTAGAAAGGAGCTCAAAAACAAACCAAACCAACAACTTACTCTTTGTGCCAGTCATAAATCTGGTGAATATTGCCAAACACTATCTTGTCTTTCCCTTTCATATCTTCAGAAACTCCCTTTTCTTCTATTCTCTTCATGAAGCCCTGTAGGAGTAACAGTGATTAGTAAAGGGTTTATACAAAGGTGGAGCATAATTACACTCATTTTGTTCAAGGAAGTAAAAATTTTATGTCTTTTTTCTTTGAATATCTCTTTATTCTGAATATCTGCGATAGTTTTATAAACCTTTATCACTGAAGTGACAAGTGCAATTAGAAGATAAAAATTAAACATAAGTAGTTGATCATGCCCTTGGCTTTGCTGGTAAGAGGCAGAAGCCAGATTCTGCACAGACAAAACTCTTCTATTTATCACCATGAGTATTTTGTGGGAGCACAAAGCCATGCAGAGAGTTTAAAGAGTCACATGAATAGGATTTCTCACACCTCCTGAGAGTTTCTTTGTAAGTCTCTGGAGCACTGTAGACCTGTCAGCTCTGCCAGTGGAGCATGATGTAAACAGAAGATAACACAAAGTCCTTCAAGTCTGGAAGCTCTTGAAAATTGCTGTTAGATGGGCTGATAATTCTCCTTGGAACAGTGAATGCCAGAAGCATTCCCCAAAGCCTACTTCAATCAAGTGCCTCCAATGCTAAGTCCTTGCTGGGAATCAAACCAGACCATGCGTGTGGGTTGTCTCTGGCAGGTGATCCCTAGGAATCAGCCAGCCCTTTGCAAGCTTACAAAACCGTGACTGTTTTTCAAAAAAAAGGCAAAAAACAACAACCCAAACTCCTGAACAATAATCCACTGGCCACACACACACCTCAGAACAGATCCAAACCCAACCAGTGGGAAGGCACTCAAACACAGGACCATAGTCCAGGTGGAAACTCAAGTAAAGTATGTGTTACTATTACAAAATATTAATTTGAAGTGAAGCTCACTGCATGACAGCAAGAATGGAACAAAGTAAAAGAAAGGGGCATAAATTATTCTCCACCACTGCTCTCAGGGCTGCTCCAGAGCAGGAAGTTGTTTGTCACAAGCAGGGTGGGCCAAGAAAAACCTTTGCACACTTGAGTTGAAACCTAAAATATAACATTTGTTAGATGGAAACAAAAATAGTTTCCAAAGGCATTTCTTCTTGTTTCTGTCAACATGAGAAAGGGACCATGGAAGCAAAATAAGGCAGTTTGTTTCTCGTGCTGTATTTTTTGTTTTTGCCACTTTTCAGCATGCTGTTTGTTAGCGGGAAAACATTTTGCACAGCAGGGGTTGCTTCAGCTCACCTCCACAACAGTTCCCAAATCTTTGACGTAGTCTTTTTCAGTCTGGACCAGTTCATTTAAGACAAACCTAAATTAAAATAGAACATAAATCTATTTGAACATGCTCCTGGATGTTACAGTTTGCTCCTTACCACGTATCACCTCCCAGCAAATATCCAGCAGCATCCCTGGAAATGCAACCCAAGTCACTCTTAGCTCAGTGGAATGAAAACAACAAAAAATGTCACATTTCAGGCCAGAGTAGTTCCAGCACTCTTATCTAGAGCATCTCTCCTTTGTCCCCTCTTACATACCAGGTCCCCAGGCACAACAAGGTGCCTGTGTTTTGAATAACCCCTCCCTGCTCTCCTCTTCTCTGTGCAGCCTTCCTGTTGGCAGCAGGGACATTTCCCAATCCATTTTGAAGCAAGGACGAAAGGATTTCTTGCCCCAGTTCAGTTTTCATTTAGAAGTTTCAAACACTTGGAAAACAAATCCCCCATCCTGCCTTAACACAGAGCTTAATCTGTCAGACTCAGTAATCTCTGTGGGTGCCTGGTGATTTACATTTATCTGATAATCCTGGGTAGGCAAGTTGGCTAATGAAGGTCTGATGCACACAAACAGCACTAAACAAAAAAAAAAACAAAACAACCCTCTTTTTTATGTCGAACTGCCTAATCACATCATGTTCCTTTAAGGACAATTTCAAAAGTTACAGCTTGCTGCAGACAGTTTTCCTCTCAATTACGCCAATACATGGATTTGGCACATGACAAATAAACTCCATCTGTGCTCGAGCTCGCTCCGGCAGCAACAAGGCTAACAAGATAGAGGAGTGCTTTCATGTCTAATATCTCTCCCCTCACATCAATCAGCAGGTCAGCCCACTTGAAGAGATAGGGCTAAGGGTGAACAGTGCTAAGATAAAAAGAAAAAAAAAAACACAGGCTGGCTTTTGGCTCCAGCACAACAGCAGCCGAGGTGTCCCCTGCTTGGATGGAGCAGAGGAGATGCTTGGACGTGCAGCAGGGAGAGGTCAAGCAGCTTCTCCTTCATGTAGGAGTGAAATCCAGCCCCCTGGGCAGAGGCCAGGGCTGGCAGCAGTGATGCCAGATGCTTGTGCTCTCTGCAGTGTCTTGCCAAGCTGTGTGCCTGGGTAGTAAACAGCAAAAGGCTGCTCTTTGGCAAGGCAGCAGCATGCAGCCTGGATGAGCACGGCCCATTTCTCTGACTGTAAGAGTACAGCTGACCAAAGCCTGCTCTAAGAATGAAGGCAGGGGTAGCACCCAGTCCTGCAACGATAGGTGGGCAGGTGTGAATCAAGTCTTGCTGTGTCAACCACGTGTCTGCCAGGTGAACACACTAAATCTCAGCTGGTTCCCCAAACCCTCTCTGGCATTGGACTCTGAAGGCACTCCCAGATTTCAGGTTTCTAAGACATATGCTGCTAAAATGTTGAGTTCACTCAACTGATCTGATAACAGAGAGCAAGGCCAGGCAGGCAGTTCTGTGTTGACTGCACAACAGTAGTTAAAATGGCATTAAATACAACAAGAGTGTAGCCCTCTCACTTCTGAATAAGTTCCAGCATCTGGATATGTTGGTAACCCCACATTAAATCTGCAAGAGTAGTGGACAGCATGTGGTGGATGGCTGGACTCAATGATCTTAGAGGTCTTTTCCAATCTTAATGATTCTATGATTTTATTAGGACCACTGTCTTGCTGCTCACAGAAATGCAGTAATCGGGGCTGATGGCTACCTACACTGAGGCTAACTGCTAACACATGCTCCCAGAGGTAGGAAATTACTGCCTATGCCTGTGCAAGGATTCAATTGCTGTTTTGTGAGAAATGGGGGTCAAAGCTCGAGTTTGGAGCTGCCTAACACGGTTATGAAATTAAGCAGTGAGAGACAGAGCACAGACAGTGGGAAGCTGGAGAGAAGACAGATGCCTTGTGCTGAAAGCCACTAGCAGGTGCTCCCAAACATCCTGGCATTTCGGAAATCTGGACGGAGGCAGCCGCTAATTACACGAAACATGCTGCTGGTCCCTCTGCCAGAAGCACTGCGAGTCAGAAATGTCCCCATGCTACAGCGCACTTACAGTGGCAAGGTCTCTGCCCTGCAACGCAACCTGCAGTTAGCTGTCAGTTATCTCGTGAATGAAGGGCTACCAGAAAAAAGCAAGGACTTGAAACAGCATGTGTCAGCCTGCACATGAAGGTATGCCACGATGAGGATAAACACTGAAGGCACAAGATTATTTTGTTGTATTTATGGAAGAGTATAAATAAGTCAAAAAAAACAACCTTCTTAAGATGTCACCCTTTCTTTCCTCTCCCATCACCAGGAACACAGGAGTTTCATTTCCCATATGAAACTTACTCTTCAAAAGCATTTTCCCACCACAAATGCCTCTGAATTATGCCTCTTCCTTCACTAATGCAAAAGATCTCATTCACAAAGTCTTTATGGGCTCTCAGCACTCTTCCTTGAGGGTCAATAATACATGCCCCTTCATGTAATGATTTCACCTCTGGGACCTCTGTAATTAACAAGTCAAACACCTCACTAATTCCACGTGTAACTGCCCAGAGGCTCCTACAGTAACTTTGCTATCTGGGGTAAAAGCTGTACATTTTAAGGAGCTTCCTGGGTGCAAAATGCTTTTCTGAAGTATTTTTGCAGGCTAAGAAGAAACAGAAGCAGCAGAACGCAGTTTTACTCCCAGTTCCTTCTCTCTTGCTGACTACAAAGTATTCTTTCCATGCAGACACATGTCCTCCTTGGGTGCATATTTCAGAAATAAGAACCAACAAGGCAACTTACATCCTGCCTCTCATTGCTTTGGCTTTTTGTTCCTCTTCAAGGTTTCTTGGGGGAGTTGAAGGCGTCATTCCTTCATTCAAGCAGCCTGTGGCATCTTTTAAGCTTCCTCGGTAAGATCCTCCTTCAAGGGTCTAAAAAAGCCCCAAAAAACGATAGGAAAAAAAACATTATCCTTGAACTCCAGCATCAGTGTTACCTTCTGTTTTAAGTCAACCCTGCAATCAACAGTGCAGTTTAAAACTGAGCGGAGCATTCAGATATAATTTCCCATAGGACTTAGTGAGACACAACCAAACAGGTTTTGATACAAACCCTCCTCCCCCAAACAATGCATTAAACCAGAAAATATGTCCTTTTGCCAGAAGGCGTAAAAAGATGTTCCAGTAGCCCTGGGATGAGAAATCTCTTCCAAATTCTCTCAAAACAACCTGAAAACATCCCAGTATCACAACCAGACCCAAGGTTAGGCTACATGTGGTCAGTCTTTCTCTGCCAAAGACTGAGTAAGAATTCTTAGCAGCAAAGTAAGACACAAAGTGAAACAAACAGTTGGGTACATAGTAACATTCCACAATGATTAAAGTTTCCCCCAAATTCCTGGAAAGTAATTGCAGTTGACCCAACAGCACATAAGGGAGGGAGAGAAAAAAAAAACCCTCTGAAAATACATATAACTGGGTTAATGTAATACTTTTAATTTTTTTAGTCCCTCGATGGACTAAAACTATTTTGAGTAAATTTTCTGGGAATGTCCTTCTCAGTTTCCCATGCACCAAAGAGATCTTTACTCTAATAGAGCACCCTCTGAACACAGACTATCCTTACGTATGAACATCTCAATCAAGGAGGATGCCAAAACCCTCAGAAATGAGTCACTAGGTAAAGTGACTTGCACAGTTACTGTATTTCAATGATCACTGGTTCCTTTTCTTTGTGTTGCTTTGGCCCCCTCCATCCTTCCATTACACAGAAGGAAATTAACCTTCGTAGGTGCATCACAAACCTGCTTTAATCCTGATTAATCAAGTGAAACTCCCTAAAAGCAAGCATTTAGCTAATTTTAGAGGTCCTGGGACATGTAGAAAAAGGAATAGCTTTTACATTAACATTCTGAATCATCTGGGGGAAAACTTGAGAGAAGCCAATATATGAAACAGGATATTATTCCTCCTCCAACAGACATGGGACCACACATGTGGAGTGTGCAATACTGAAACAGGGTTAATAAAAGCACAGCAGATGAAGGTGGAAGGCAAGAGAACCAGAAACAGAGGCAGACTGTAAAGCCCTTCCTTAGAGCCATGTTGTTTTCACAGTGCTAAACTTACCAGCTTACTTTTGACCAACTGTTCTATTGCACTGACAAGATCCGCAGCAGTTGGGACATCAGAGGAGCTCTGCCGAGCAGCTAGCAAAGAAGAGGACTGCAAGACACCAGGTTGCAAAGGAAAAGTTAGCAGGATGAGAAGGGAACGGGAAACCAGTGGACAGTGAAGCAGCTTCTGAGATGGGAGAAAAACGAATGCAGAAGGGGAGCAGGAGGGTTAGAGAGTCACATGCACAGTCAAGTGAGAGAGTTTTGCTGTATCAACAAGCATAGAATTGCCAAGTCTGGCTGCACATCCCTTTGCAGCATTTCCAAGGCCAGGAACCAGGGAATGGCATCAAAGAGCTGAAGTTCATTTGCAACCAGCTTACAATACACTGAATGTCTGTTAGCTCCTCCTTCCATGGACATCTATGGTTACAGTCTCCAGAAAATAGATCTTCTTACTGCAGATGTAAGAAATTACCCCTCCCCCATACATACATATTGAATAAATGCAATAAGTGGAAGTATGCATGGAATTACAGGGGATAAAATATTCCTCCCCAGTTCCTTCCCCAAAGATCAATTGCAACTCCACATGAACTCCTCAAATGACACCTTGCACTGCAACTTCAGCCATCCAAAATCTGTATCTTTTCTCTTCCCTCTCTGCAATCAGGGGAGAGAAAATGCCCTTGTGTACTTCATCCATTCTAAGTACTCGGTGCACTCTTTGGAGATGCTGACTTATCCTCAGTGACATCAGTTTAACTGCTGTATTTCTGCTTGTTGGTCACAGGTATTCGATTTCAGGTGTCTGATATCATGTAATGTTTTTGGACATCTCCACATTCAGACTGATAGTTGCCAGTTGTACAATCCCCCTGACATACCAAGACATCATCACAGTGATGCCAAAAACCTTCTCATGCCCAGTGAAGCACAGCATCCTTGCACAGTACTCAGCTTCAGCTTCAGGCCTGTGCTCTACATGGGGTGTTCTATTAACCCACGTAGGTCTTTGTCCTAAGAAAACTCAGTCTGAAAAATAGTACTCAAATGACAGCTGCAGGAATTGGTATTTATTGGTATTTGTTATCCCACCTGTATGTGTGCTTATTCCGAACCACTAGCACTGACTAAAACCTAAACCTTTCAGTAATCAGCTTTTGGCAGGCAGACATAGACTGAACATGGCTAATTCTTTAAAAAATCTGCATTAGAATTATGAAATAGCTGATTCATTTCTCAGCCACTTGATAAATGTCTTCTGCAGAGCACCTATTTCAGCAAAGTCATCAGGCAGGTGCCAATGAACAAGAGATGAAATAGTGCTGGGGAGTAAGTGGAAAGGTGATGGCAGGAATTAGGCAGTGGGCCATCTCTTCCAGCAGCCCTTTGGTGAGTGACACAGCCCCAGGACACAGAGAAAAGGCAAAGGAGACTAATTTCAGCCAGAAGCTTCATGACAGAACAGGAAAGAGAACAGCCTGCCCCTTGTAGTCTCATCTTTCACTCAAATAATACATCTAATCAACAGTTCTAATTACAACAACAACAAAAATTACAGGTAATCAGGCTGGTAATTGAGGAATTAGGCTGGTAATGCAGGAAACTCATACAAATGGAAAAGCTAAGACAGCAGGTTTCACCTTCAATGCAACAGACATTTCTAAGATCAAAAAGGCTGAGAGCAGAGATGCTGGACAAACACATTGACTGTACTGCCCAACATAATCCTTCTTGCTGGAGGAGTCCAACTTTTGGAGGCACTGAGCAGCTGTTGTTCTCACTTATTTTAACTGAAATTGCTCAATATCTCTGAAAAGTACAGAATGGCAGGATTTTAAAGGGAGCACAGGAACATGTGCTGCCTAAAAATCTTTCAGGGTGAAGTAAAACACTTCTGTGATTGACAAAAGAGCCTGGTTTGTGTAGGGCACATTGAAAAGTGGCATTTCAATTCCCTATTGAGTGAATTATGAATTTGTAATATGAAGATATATCATCATTTTTGGTTATGGGCCTCCAAGATCAGCAAGGCATTGTCACTATTCAAGAAAAGGGTGGATGTGACACTGAGGGACATGGTGGGAATGGGTTGGTGGTTGGACTAGATGATCTCAGAGGTCTTTTCCAACCTTAATGATTCTGTGAGCTCTGTGATCTGTGATCACTGCTTCTTGCACATGGGCATTGTGGATGTCCCCTCCTGCTACTGCTTCTTCCCCAACCCACAGGCTGTACAAACAAGCAGTAACAGGACATGACCAATATCTAGGACCAAATAACACAGTTAAAGAGCTTTTGGCTCCAGAATGGCTCAGACATCGCTCATGCGGTGTTTTGGTGCCAGGGAGTTAGGGACATAAAGAGAATAGGGGAAGAAAAAGAGAACATAAGAGGGTTTCAGATGCATCTATTCTATTTCATCCTCTCTTTTAGGATTGAGTGAAGAAATAGGATGCCAAAATGCTCTATAAAGCTCTGACATCTGGAGAGGAAAACAGTTTAGTTCCACAAGATTGGTGCTGTCAGAAACGTTTTTACAGAATAGTGAAATGACACAGTGTGTTAAACAAACAAAAGTAATGACCACAACAAGAGCAGGGTTTTGCTGTTTTGTCTTGTCTGGCTTTCTTTAAATAACAACCCCCCAAACATGTAGCTAAAAGCCCCAGAGAGCAAGCCAGGAGCTCTTGTGCTGGGCACGGATCCACCAGAGCAGCACATGCAGTGCTCAGAGGGCAGCAGTCTTCGCCTCCAGCTGCTTCCTTCTGGCCTCGCTGCCACCATCATGTTGTAACATTTCCTGACAGATAAGCAGTGAGCCCAGAGCCCTTTCCTCCACCACTCTGCTATTCGAGTCCCACAGATGTTTGCTCCAAACTCCTGCCTGAGCTGTCCCCAAGAACATTCTGGGTTGTGTTTGGGTTGGTTTTTTTTCCTGTGTTTTGGGTTGGTTTTTTTTTGTTTTTTTTTTTTACATTTTATTAATCTCCCCTATCCTTGCTTCTTGGCATGCAGTAATTACAATCAGAGGATAGAGATACAGAAGTGGCAGTGCTAAAAACAGATGCCAGCAGGAAAGCAGGAAGCAGCTAGATGAGGGGATGGATTTCTGCAAGGGAGATGCCAGCACTGGGAATGGGTAAAGAGTACATGCACAGACAGAAGCTGTGCTATCTGAGAAACATTTTCATAACCAAGTTCACAGATTCTCAGCTCAAGTACAAAACAGTAATTGAAGGACTCTGTGAACAACTACACCATCAATGGCAAACAAACTCCTGATGTAATGCTCTACAGATCCGAACTAACAGCTGAGAACTATGGCTGGCAACATGGCACTCAAAGACAAGGGCCCTCTGCACCCTTGAGAGAAACTTCAGGTCCCTTGGGAGCCTCCAAACTAACTGGAGCCATAACCCAGAAATGCTGAATGATATGACTGGGTAGGATTTCCCACCTGAAAGTTTTAAAGCAATTGATAGCTGAGGTTGTATGATGGGACAATCACACAGAAGGGTTAGGGTCAGGGTTGTGCAGAACACAAGTTATCTAGCTCTTGGTAAGGATGGTATTTTGGATTCAGGCAGACTCCATCCATTACCTGTCCTACTCCTCAGGCCCAATACGCCATCAAATACCACTACCACTGTGACTGCCAGCCACTAGCAATACAATTCTATGATTCTATGACACTTTTAGAACCTATGTGGAGAACACGCACAATCAGCCTGAGAGGAATTTCTGACCCCACAAAATACAAACACACAACACCTGTCATAAAATGAGATAGCAAGGCTAAACTGCTCATCAGGCACTATTTGTAAATATAGAAAGGTAGCAGGCTATGATTCACACATAGATGTCTGTTGTAAGCACACACCTAAGCCCAGACACCAGAAGACCTCTGTGAAATGACTATGAGACAGCTGCATGAAAAAATGCTTCAAGAAAATGTTTAAGAACAGCAAATTGATACAGTAAGGGAGGTCTTACCATCTCATCTTGGGTTGGATCATTGTCAAAAATCTTCATAGGAGGAGGAAGAGGTGTGTGAGACTCTTCATCTGGCTCATCTTCTCCCCAACCCTTCTTGCTCTTCTAAGAAAAATGAAATAAAATTAGAAGCAAGGAGAGGTTTCTTTTTATCTTTTTAGATATTTGATCCCTACCACCAGGCTTTGAGTCTGCTAGTAATACTAAAACTACCTCAGTATGGCGGTGGAGAGAGTTGTAAGTAATACCAAGTGTCATAAAAGAGAAGCAATAAAGATGTATGGTTTTGCCTGGTAATCCTGGTGCACTCTTTTTTTTTCCAGAAAATGTAGGTACTGTGTGAGATAAGAGCTAAGGCAATTACATCTGTCTGCATGCTGACAGAAAAGTATTTTCTAATTTAAATGAGAACAGCTCCATGTACAGTTTTCAAAATGTGTTGCTCTATTTGCTTTCAGTTCATAACCGCTCCATTTTCTGCCTGTGATTCCACCTTCACTTTATCAGGAAAGAGCCATTCTAGCAAAGAACATGCCTGCAGAGAAACTGCAGCTACAAATACGCAGCTGGTTCAACGGAAATGTGGCTATTTCTTTGAGTGTTCTCCTTCAGTAAGGAATTACACTGCCATAGCAGGAGAAAGGTGATATGAACCTCAGCAAGGAGTGATAACAGCTGCTCAGAAATAGCTTCATTCCTGTCCTTGGCAGATTTCCAACAGGCTATTAAAAAAAAAATCTCGTTAAATGATAACAATATACGCAGACTCTGAAATGTTCCCTATGTATTACATTGTTCTTTGGAAGACAGTGCTGTTTGCAACACAGCTTTAATCAACTTAATTTTTCATCCAATTCGCTGCTCCTTGTAGACCCTAAGCGAGCTACATTTGCTTAAGCATGCATCACCTAGCACCAGCTATCAGAGATTCTTTCCTGCAACAGACACCAACACCCACCTCATCTGCGCTGTCTCCTTGAGGAGTGGTTTCATCTCCAGTCTTTGGTGAGCCGAGGTCAAAGCTCTTCCTGCCATCTCGCACCTTCTTTTGCTTCTTGATGTTGCTCTCGGCCTTCCCGCTGTTCAGCCGGCGCACGGGGCTCGTCAGCCATTTCTTCAGTGTGTTGGTCGAGCGCTTGGGGCCGGGAGAGCTCTGGATAGAGTTGAGGGATGGCTGGGGCTGTAAGTTGGCCACTGAATCGGACTTGCCTCCATTTTCATTGGAAGAGACTGAATATGCCTCTGCAAGAAAACAGTGCACGTGAGAGATTAAAACAGCCCCTCTCCTATCTCCTAGCACACATCAAACACTTGGCATTCCTCAGCATGAAAATGCAAGATGCCTCAATGGAAAATTCTGTGACCTCTGAACACTGTAATCTTCATTGCACGCCAGAGAGGAATATGCCATGCAACACGCATCTTTTACAATCTTACACTCTTTACCACACATCTGTCCTTATGAAAGGTCACAGGCACTACAGTTACCCAGTTTTTGATGAGAGCCTGAATTTCATGTTCAGTGCTGAATTTCTCAGCTTCTTTCCACAGATTTCATTGTGAATTGCCAGGAAGAAGCTAGGCATAAAGAGCAAATCATTACAAGAGACCTGACAGCCACCAATACTTTGTCAGGTCATGACGCCTTAAATGTTTCTCAGCCTTTGACAGACCCCAATAACATTACTGTTGGTTTGACTGCGTATTAACTTTTGAAAGTTATTTGAAGCACTTTGAAATTATCTGCTTTGCTCCTGAAAGCAATTTGTTAGAAGACTTCACACCTTCTCTAGAACTATGAAATTGAAATGAACAATTACAGAAGATGACAAATTGTTCAAACCAAAGGAAACTCCCAAGGAGATACAAGGCAGGCTTTAAATTAAAAAGATTTTCACTATATTCTAAGCAGAGACTCTGTGGAACCATAACCAACTGTGATTATCAATACACATGTTCAGGCCCGCACCTTGGAAATGGGACAACCTCCCTCACCCCCCCAAAGCAACAGACCAAAGATGTGCCAATATCAATAAGTCTTTAGAAACAAAGCAAACAAGTTGCTGGAACATTTCTCAATTGCCCTTTAGGAACAAGTGTCCTGCTCTCACCTTCCTGAAACTGTGGCAAAAGCAACTCCCTCCCCAGGAGCAACCGGGGACTGAGATGTTTTATTTCATTCAGCTCAAGAAGAAATCACTATTTATTTATTTTTACGGAATTCAGAAATTCTGTCACACTCCCATAAAGTATGTCTCATATTGTACATCGGAAAGCAGTCATCTGACATTCCTGCACATTTTTAGATGCTTATCTCTGAGTCTCCTAACCAACCCAGCAGAAAACAAAAACATGAGTTACAGCACACGAATGCAGCATGGTGCATCCAGTTGCTCTCAGTCCAACAACAAACACACTGCAGATATTGGGTAATGCACATGCTGAGGGAGAGCTGCCCTCCCAGTGAATAGTCACCTATCCTGATTTAGAAGCCAGCAGAGATTGCAGCCTACCTTGTAAAGTGCAGTTCCAAGACATCACAACTAGACAGCCTCAGTCAGAGGTCAAACCAATGATTTATTACGTACCTGGCATCAAAAATCATGTACTTAGAACATGTAACCAAGTAGAGTAAGTCAAAGTCCATTTCCCAGAGAGCAGAAAATTCACTCATCTGTTTTCTGACAACGGGAGGAGTTGGAGTGAATGTGCCTGGGAAGATGGCAGATCCCAGGAAGAGCTGCTCATATCTTTCTGGTCCACTGCTTTCAGACATTCCTCCATCAGGGCAAAGCAGAAGTCTTATCTCAGAAAGGCCTGCTTTCAGCCAGCTACTGCTGCTATTCTGTGAATATGTAATAGCGTTAAATCAACGAGCGCGAGATAATATTTGTCTGTGGGCAGCTTATCTTCCATTCAGTGGGCTTCAGATAGCCTCCTGGGGTAGGCTCCACGTGATGCTCAGGCAGTTTCTCAGCACACCTTGCGTCAGCACAATTCAGGCTCTCAAGATGGTGATTTTGAGCACTTGGGCAGCTCATAAAGTGCAAGCACCTTCACCCTACTCTCCATGCCCCCAGCCAGAAAGTCCTGCTGCAAGGGGAGCTGTGCTGCAGGCATGGGAAGAGAAGTGCTGAAAGAGGTCAGGTTGGAGGTGGAGTCACTGTCCCTGGAGGTGTTCAAGAAATGCTGAGATCTGGCACTGAGGGACATAGTTAGTGGGCAGGGTGGGGATGGGTTGATGGCTTTTCCAAGCGTAATGATTTTCTGATCCTATTGTTCACCTCTCTGCATGCTGTCACTTTCAGGGATGTAATCTGGGGAAGGCACGTGTAACACGGACTTCGCTGGGGAGAGGGCTTAGGCAAGAGGTGGAGTGAAAATGTGGATAAGCTATCTTCCATATCTTTGTTAATTAATGTACAGAGAGGCTTTTAGTACAACTGGAAGCAGCATAGCTCAAACTACAACCTTGATCCAAAGGCACCTTGTCAATTTACCTATTAGTAATGGAAGGGAGCTGATAGGAGGTGAAATGAAGTCTGGTCCAACCCCACCAGCCCAAGGACTGTCAGGAACTCTCCGTTGCCATCCAAGAAAAATTAGTATTGAGGCAGAAACACCCAAAGTCCCAGAGTTGGCCAACAGACTACCATCACCATTTGTAGGAATTCAGTCTGAAGTTTAATCTAGAGGCAGTAATGATCTCCAAACTGATCGCCAGGCTTCCGGGACAGCAAGTGAAGAATACTGCCAGCCCAAAAGTTTCAGGAAGCTTTGGGTAGTGAGGAGAGTTACACAATGCAACAATCTTACTTGAAGGAGGCTTGTGACTTTCCTGCTCAAGGTCATGGCAATGGTAATGGAAAAGGCTATTTACCACAAATGGCCTATTTTCCATACCCCTAGGACCAGGCACATGACCCAAGCAGATATGAAGTCTCCTTCACTCTCCCTGCCTGCTGCATGTCCCAGCTCACCACTGTAAGAGATCAACGAGGGAGACCTGGGCTTGGTTGGCTGCGCAGCAGTTCAAGGCTAGACATGGAGATTGCCCCAGTCTTGTCCTCTTTTTGGACATGAGTGTGCTCTCTAGCTGGAGGACAGGCAGGGAAATAGAATGGAAAGGACAAATACCTGCTACCCAGACACCATGAGAACCTCCAGCGCTGGGTGGCTCTGCTCAGCACCCAACACTCATACAAAGCACTCCCACCTCACTGTCTTATTCCTCACCATGTCCAAACATATGCTGTCCAAAAACACACACCTACAATCAACACAATATTCATAACCTTTTTTTTTTTTTTTTTTTTTTTTTTACAGCCATGTTCTTAAATGAGTCACACTTGCTATTTGCCATCCCTGCTGAGAATGACTTTTTTACACATAATACAGGTCGACCTGACACAGTCACAAAGGCAAGAGTGGAGCTGAAGAAAGAGCAGAGCTCCCTTAATGACAGACAGAGAAATGCAACACATGAAATCTGCCAGGAAAGACTTTTGGGATGACCTCCAAAACCCTGCTTGTGTGAGCTGCACTGCTTCCGTGACACGTACCGCTACAAACGCATTTATCATGGCACGTGGTAGGAGGTGGAGATCCAAACACGGAATGGATCAAGCAGAACACATGCCTGTGTTCTTCTTGCAAAGCACTAGCACATATGTGCTCTGCAAAGTGTACTGCGAGAGCTGTCTGGAAGCAGGCTGTGCTCAAGAAGAGCCAGCGAGCACTTTGAGTGTGACACAGCGGCTCATGGTGCAGTAATTCAGGCACCCACTGAAAGAAGTGGCTGAAGGCACACCGCAGCAGGTCTGCAGGCACTGCAGGACTTGCAGCAAGCTGCAGTGCGTGGTCATCGTGTCACTGTAGCCCTGTCTAAAAAAAGATCTCTGGTGAAGCGGGATGGGTGCCGGGAGGTCAGCAGATGAGTGTGGCTAGATGGACTTCCTGGCCAACCCAGTCATTCAGTGAGGAGAAATGACAGTTTCCAAAACACCCCCAAGCGAATCTCCAAGAAACTTCTGGCAATATGACTGTGGCAGATACACAGCCAGTGCAAAGAGCTTTAACATTCAGAGCTTTCACACCGCCAGAGTCATGAAATGCTTGCTGTTGTTGCTGCAGTGAACAGACGGCTACAAAAGCACAGTTCTTTTACTTGGAAAATGGAAGGTTCCAGCTCTGTGCAGCGCTGGGTGAAAGGAAAAACAAAAATCTCACAGATGTCTTCTAGCGGCATGGCTGTATTCCCACTTGAGCCAGTAGGAATTGCTGTTGGAACTGAACACCAAGACGTTTTATTTTTACCTCCCCGTTCCCCACAGCACACAGGGGAGCAGAGGTCTGACCAGGATAACACAGCATTGGATCCATCTGCAGAACCCGAGTCTGTAACAGGGAGTGGGAAAGGCTTCTCTTTTTGATCCATACTAACCATAGACCGTATATGATAGGAGGGAAGTGTGCTTTGATAACCAGATGTTAATACAGAACAGGGCTATGAAGATGCTTAACTATGCCAGGACACACTCCTACTTGAGCTAAGAAGAGGTGAATCATTACATGGGACCAGAGGGTGAGGCATGGCTCCAATTCTCACCCCTGAAAAACAGCCTGAAAGAAAAGGATTTTTTCACAGAAGCCAGAGAAAATGAGCCAGAATGGGACCTCAGTAATTCTGTTAGCATGTGCATGTAAATCAACTTTTTTTTTTTTTTTCCCACAGAAATAATTCCACTCATGAATGAAAGCCAATAACGTCAATCTGACCAATGAGCACATAAATTAACTCTGCTCTGCTCAGCAGAGCCCATTTCCCATATTCAGTGATTGCTGTAAAATAACATTTATGACAAAGACAGAATTGAATCAGATGTGGGTGAAAGACTGACTCGGTCCTTTCTCAAGCTACAGTTTCCTGAAGAAAAGGAACCTCTGAAGCAGAAAATCCTGGAAAGAGGGAGGTACCCAGATTCCCCCTATGCACAAGCACAACCCCTGTGTTAGTATTACGCACTAAACAAACAAGGATCATCCATGCCATCAAAATGCACTCCCTCCCCCCCCAGCCCTGTCCAAGAGCAGCTCTTGCACCCAAGAGGCTGTAGGCTCCAGGTCACATCTCAAAGCCCCATGAAGCTTTATGAGCTCTCTGGGGCTCTATCACCTCCTGTCTGCTCCGGCACTAAAGGGGTAAAGCTCTACTCAGCGAAGATGGCCGAAGGAGCAGTAAG